GCAGGGCTGGCAACAGTGAGTGTGGACTTCATGGCCAAAACTATGGTGGCCGTGGACCAGAAAGAGATCTTTAAAACGGGATTGAGCCAATAACATCACACAATGTGCACTGGTCAGGAATTCTGTACCTGGTAGAAACGTGGCTGCAAGAACAGAAAGCCCAGTAACAGAAGATTGCAGGAATACGAGCTCGTTTTGCTGCTACAACAGCAAGCCCAGAAGTAGATATTTGCAGCATTGTTTTTTGCATCTCTGAGGCATATGGGCTCTTCTACATCTTTGTCCCTGCCATCTTTAGGGTGGAGATCCTTGTCTGCTCATTCTCATGGGTCCAGCAGCGCACAGTGTGTCCTGGGAGGAAGTAGAGGGGCCTGTGGCAGGAGTGGTCTCTCCTCAGAGAGCAAGTGCTTTTCCAGACACATCCTGCCTGAATGCTGCTTAAGTTTCATTGTACAGGTCTGGGACACTTCCCACCTCCATTCCCCTGCTGTAAGGATGTGCAAGCAGAAAACATGAGTGTTCCACTGGCCATGAAAGCCTGAGTTACTGCCCCAGGTTAGCATATTGCCATCCTAAGCAAATCCAAGTTCGTCAGCTGGGAGAAGGGGGATGGCTGTTGGTGAGTGAATAATGGTGCCTGCTACAGATCTCCTCCACCCCTGTGCCTCTTGCATAATGAGTGGAAACTTGAGTTTTCTAGATATACCCTTAAAATAAACCTATTATTGAAAATTGCTGCAATTTTCTCCTTGGAGGGTCTCTGAGGCTTTCAGGGAAGACCTCACAAGGCAAAAATCTTAGCCTATGAGCAGCTCCCTGACTTCTTAGACCCCAGAGGCAAACAGCTTCAGCCTCCAGTAGATGCCTTGCTGTATGATGGCTGTTTTATTTCTTCTTTTATTTGTTTTCCACTTTGCAACTGTGAGCATTAAGTCAGAAGGACAGAAAAAGTTCACCATGTTGACAATAGCCCCATCTTCTGTCTAAGAAATGCCATCGTCTGAACAGATCATTATTTTTGGTTGCCAATACATTCTGGAACATAATGCAAATAGGATCCATGCATCTAAGAAGAAATCTTTTCAGGGGTTTGAAGCCCTTTTACCTCTTTCAGGTCAACATGTTTGCCCATTGTTATTTGGTCTTGTAGTACTTATGGTATCATGATGCCCTTGCCCATTGCTTTTCTGGCAGTTTTATGAAGGACCAAATTCAGTACCTGCAGCATGCTTTGATGGGTGCAAACAGAGTCCACAGAAAACATTGAAAGGAAGGATCCATCTGCCTGGACCAACCTCCTAACTACACTATCTCTTCTCAATTCACTTTTTCTTTTCATTTCTTTTTTTATACTAGGGATTGAAATCGGCCTCACACAAGCTAGGCAAGAGTTCTACCACTGAGTCACATCCCCAGCCCATATTTTATTTTGAGACCGGGTCTCCCTCAGTTGCTGAGACTGGCCTTGAACTTATAATCCTCCTGCCTTAACCTCTGGAGTAGCCAGGACTATGGGCATGTGCCACCGTGCCTGGCTCCCACTCACTCTTACTCCTCTCTCCATTCCCCTTACTAAGGGGAAGCAGTGTCCATCTCAAGTTGGGAAAATGAAGGGTGTCAAGATTAAAATCAGAGGTGCAGGTGAGCAAGCTCATCTCTCGGTGCAAGCATTTCAGATTAGAAGGGAATCAGGGATATCCATCTTTGGAGAGATCTCAGATGTAGGGTATGGACAACCAACACCCACCCATTTGCAGTATATTGGAGCCCAAGTCTTCAGGGTCGAAGCATAAGGGTAGTTCAACTGTGGGACCCAAAAAGGTTGGGGGAAGGAGTTCATGAAAACAACTCCTTAGAGGCCACTGCTGGACACACATCCACACTGACAAATGCACAGGCAGTTAGGCAGTTTCTTTCTCACAATTGAACATATTTGTTGCCAAGGAAACTGAGGAGGGGGCAGACTCTGGGTGTGCAGGCTACCTGAGCTGGAGCAAAGCAGCCATAGGACTGAAGGTGGGGAAAACTCTGATAGCTAGTTGCAGCCCTTGTTCATTCACGATGAAGCAGGAAAATTGCAGGGGAGGAGAAAAGCAAGCCATACTAGCCTCCTTCCCATATCCCCTCCCCTGCAATATCCACCTCTAGGAGGATGAGGAGGGGTCCCTGGCTATTCTCACACCAGGTTTCCTCCATCCATCAAAGCGGCACATTGTTTACCAGGGAACAAGTGTTTCAGCTTGCAAATGCCCCTGTTTCAGGGGTAATTATGGCCCTGGAAATTCTCCAACAGTAACTTGGAATACCATCACTTAAAATGATGACTTCTTATCATCCAGATTCAAAACTTACTGAGTAATTGTCACACTTCTGATACTATTTGGCACTTAGGATATGAATTGAATTAAAGCACTGTCTTAAGCTGTCACTGAACTATCCATATTCATTCATTCGTGAAGTGTAATTCACTGAGTACCTGCTATGTGTTAGACGCGGGGGACTGAGACTCTTTAGGCAGTCAACTGGACCTAGTGATGTTTCTAAAATTGAATCGTTGGTTCCCATAATATGTGAATTTCTTAGTGTGGTACCCAAGATGCCTCCAGAGGGGGCCTGGCCTTCTTTCCAGGCTGTCTCCTTACAAGTCCCATTGGCTTACTTTTAAAATCTCCAAAACATGTCATGTGCTCTCACTTCTCTTTGTCTTTTCAAAAGCCCTTCACTTTCTGGTTTAACTTTAGGAAGTTCATCGTGGTAGCAATATGGAGTAGGTACTGCAGTGAGGTGTATGTCAGGTAGGAGTTCTTGTTCACTTAGTAAGAAATGATGAAGTTCTAAAACTTAGACATTCATGGAGGACAGAAGGGAGGAGCTACTGAGAGAAAGATTTAGAAAGTTTCATGGACAGAAGTGAGYGATCGACTTGGGGATCAAGGAGGAGAGTGGGAAGTCTTACTCTCAACCAGGGCAACTTGGTGAGGACAGCCTTTTGCCAGGCAGGGATTCCCCAGAAGAAGCGCATTGGTGGGGCATATTGGTGATGGGAATGTGGTGGAGGGAATAAGGTCAGTGGAGGTTAGACAACCCCGAMACATGTTGTATGGACAGGTTTGAGACTGACCCCAGGACAGGTCTCAGGAGACAGACCTGGGCTGGACATGTAGATTTTCTTCATCAGCATGTAAAAGGTAGTCAGTCAGATTAGTCAAGGAAAGAGTACAGAGCTAGAAGAAAAGAGATGTGAAGACAGACCTTCGAAAACCTGAATACCAACAGGTCAGGAAGAAAGATGGGCTCTGCCCAGCATGGAGAAGGAACAGATGGGAAGCAAAGGAAAAAAAAAAAAAAAAAACAGGAGAGAACCACAGGAGGGGACCAGAGGAAGATGGTTCAAAAAAAGAAATGCTCAAGAGTCCGCTTTGATAAGAACAACAAAGGGCAGGTTTAGTGATTGGACCACTGCCCATCTTAGGGAGTCAGAAAGTGGATGTGGAAATCATTCTAGCAGAGAAGAGAGTGACAGAGGAGAGTTCTGTGAGTCTGGACCAGAGCTGAGCGGGGAATGAGGCTGTGGGGCTGGCCACCAGATCCTGATGGGCTTCCATGCCCTGCCTGGCATGGGCTTTGTGTTGTAGGCAACAGGGAATAAATACAGAGGCCAATTCATTATTTTTCTTTTAGTGTAAGTCATTTGCAAAAATGGGGGTAAAATTTACATAGAATGAATGTCTGGATCTCAAGGGTTCAATTCAAGGGTTTTTGGCAAATGTGAAACCGTGTAACCAACACAGGACCAGGTTGAAGTACTTCTGTCACCCAGAAGCTTCCCTCCAGCCTGGTTCTCATGACTCTCCATGTCTGGAGCAGCTGCTCTTTTCATTCCTATTCCACAGATTACTTTTCTCTTTTTACATTTCATATAAATTAGACTGTGAGGACATAAGACTTCGTCAGGCTTCTTTTGAACAACAGAATGTTTTTGGGATTTATTCGTATTTGTTGAATGAATTAGCAACTCATTCTCTTTTGCTGAAAGAGCATTATTATATAAAGTACAATTTGCTGAATCATTCTTCTACTGATGGACATTTAATTTGTTATAAGGTTTTGGCTATAATGTTGCCAAAGCATTGTTCTGCAAGACCTGTTGGCATATATTTTCATTTAGCAAATAGCAAGGGGTGCAAATATATTAAAAGGTAAGTATATTTCAATTTTATAAGAAACAGTTTTCCAAAGCAATCTTGTCACTTATGAGCACCATTAATGTTCCAGTTCAAGTTGTTTCACCTTCTTGGTTTTTTCCACATCATGTATTCAGTCTTTCAAAATTTGAGCCATTCTCAGGAGCATGAAGTGGTGTCTCATGGTGGGTTTAATTTGCATTTCTCTGGTGATTAAAGATGCTGAACACCTTTGCAAATGCTTGTTATTTGCATTATCTTCATTTGTTAAATGTCTGCTCAAAACTATTTCCCATTTATGTTTGATATATGTATATGTTGAGGGAAATGATAATTGGCACATTAGATGTTGGAAGCAATTGGTATTGTAGCCAGAATTAGACAGGCAGTCAGTATAGATAGATAAATCCAGTCAGGTCGGATCAAAGAGGCCAATTTTGAGTGAGTCTGGGAAGTTGGAGGCTGTGGACTGAAATGTTAGTTCCTTCAGAGCCCTTCCTCCACCCTTTTCAAGAACCCGCCCCTGCTCCAACCTGTTGCCAAGGTAACCTGTCCCAGGAATTGCCCCTCCCTACAGGGTTGTTAATGTTGTTAAACCTGATTCCCACTTTTGGGCCATCCCACCAAGCATTCCTGGGTCTAGTCACTTACGCAGGAAGGAGGAAGACTAGAGGAAAAAGGCAGGAGAACAAAGGAAGCCTGGGACATATAAAAAGGGCAGAACACCTCACTTCTTGGGATACCAGGATATAAGCTATGGCCCCCTTCTCCCTCCCAGGAGAAGTCCATGTTATTCTTTTTTACATAAATCCTGCTTTATATGCTTGCCTCAGTGTGCTTCTGTCCTATTCAGACTTCAACATGTGAGGAAGTAGGACTCATCACCCATAACAGGCAGCATCAGTATTTGCTAACATTCCAAGTGGGTTTAAAATAGAACCATTTATGCATTTCGTCTCAATGGGAAAATTGAATAACTGAAATAGAAAACCTCACCTCTGCAGTGCACTTTGTTGATCTGGTTCCTGTTTCAACCCTGGAATTAACTGGATCTGTGACATGGGTTTTCTTTTCCTTTTAACCAAAAAGATCTGCCCTTTAGTTTATAGACTGATCCAACCTTCAAAGAGCTTGATAGAGGATAAACATAATGGATAAGATTAAGATTAAAGTTATCTGACTTTACATATGAAAGACTATTTCCATATTTAGTAGTAGATGTTGTCATAAGTACAGAACAGACACATGCATGGACTGTTTTTGAGCTGTACAGCGGGAGTGAGCACATGCACTGTAAGGGAAGTTCTGTTCTGGAGTGTGGGCACTGGGAAGCAAGGGCCAGTGTGGGCATCTTCTCTCTACCTGTATTCCCAGCACATATGCATAGCAGAACTCACCCCACCTTGATGCTAAATCATCCTTGTGTTTTCCTTATCTATTTTAAAGCGGATGTCCAGAATACATTTCTGATATGTGTCAGTGTCTTTGTGGGAGGTTCCCTGAATGCACAGTTTTGAAAGTAGGCTCTGAGGTGACAGCGAAGTCCACCTTCCGTGACACCTTCTGGCCTGTGTCACAGGCATGCCTGACTGATTTAGGGCCCCAGGGAGCCAAACTCCAATCACAACGCGATGCACCTGGAACATATACTACATTAACGTTTAACGAAGTTCTCCTTTCTCTTACAAAACAGTAAGGCACAGGGGCAACAGGGCTGGACAGTGCTGGTGAGAGCCCAAGAGCACAGTGAAGGCCTAGCAGGAACGCCACACTGTGCACGCGCCTCGGCCCCACGGTGCACGCGCACGTCCTGGCGGCCCGGCCGGTGCGCGCGCACGCCCTCGCGCACGCCCTCGGCTTCCTCCCAGAGCTTGGTATCGGCGACGCGCGCGGCAGATGGAAGGGGTGCTCGCGGAAGTCCTGCTGGAGCAGAGCTGGGACCCCCGGGCCCTGTTCGGGACGCTGTGCCGAGGGGAAGCGTCCGTGGAGCGCGTGGAGACGCTGCGCTTCCTTCTGCAGCGGCTGGAGGACGCGGGCACGAACCCGGGCGCGCTCCCGGAGGCCGCGCGCGAGGTCGCCACCGGGTACCTAGTGCCGCTTTTGCGCGGGTGCCCGGGCGGCGCCGACCCCGACCCCGGCCCGCCGAGCCAACGCCGGCGCGTGCTGCGGGCGGCGGGCGCGGCGCTGCGCTCGTGCGCCCGGCTCGCGAGGGGCCCGCCTCTGGCTGCCGCGCTGGCTGAGGAGGCGCTGCGGGACCTGCGGGTCGGGCGGTGCGCGCCGGGCGTCGAGGCTGCGGTGGAGGTGCTGGCCGCCGTCGGGCCCTGCCTGCGGCCCCGCGAGGACGGGCCGCTGCTTGAGCGCGTGGCGCAGGCCGCSGTTGCCCTGGCGCTGGGCGCGGACGGGCCCGGGAACGCCGAGGACGCGGGGGCGCTGGCGGCTGCGCGGCTGCTGCCGGCGCTGGGTCAGTGTGGCGGGGCGGCGCTTCGGGCCGTGTGGGGCGCGCTGGCCGAGCCGGGCGTCCCCTGGGAACCGGACCGCGTCGGGCTAGAGCTGCAGGTGCTGAGCGCCCTGGCCGAGAAGCTGCTGCCTCAGCCCGGCGCCCGCGACGTGGGCCCCGACGCGCGGCGCTGCGGACGCTTCTGGAGGACGGTGCAGACGGGCCTGGGCCGCGCGGAGGACGCCCTGACGCGCAAGCGCGCGCGCTATCTGCTGCAGAGGGCCGTGGAGGTGTCCGCGGAGCTGGGTGCCGACTGTACCTGCGACGCTCACGGGGGAACAGGTATTCGCTCCCTGGCCCAGCCCCACCCATCCCGCTAGCTTCCGCAAGCTGTTCAGAATTCGGTCATTCCACATGGCACCATAGAGCCTGGCAGCCTTGGGACCCTCTTTTCAGAGGCTGTTCTGCCAAGTGACAAATCTCTGAGGTCGGGAGCAGTCGACCCAAGCAAGGTGGAATGCGACGCCCTTTGAGTTGTTGGGCTGAACCCATGCAGGATTCTACAGACCCAAGTGGGCACTGTATCGTGATGGGACTTTCCACACTGAAAGATGTACCTGTGCTCGGGAAATGAACGGAGGCGTGTGTGTTAGAATTAGCATCATTCTTTGGAAAGGTCACTAGGTAATTCTCAGGAGCAGGATTTACTGATATTTGCTGAACATGTTTCTTAAGTTAGCTTTTTAAGGGTACTTTTTAAACATTTGAGTCCTTGCTTCTCTGAACAAGTGGAGATGTGCTASCATGGCCTGCCGCCTTTGGGTTGGTAACTTTTGATTGGTTTATCCAATGGTCTCAAGTTTCTGAACTAAGTCAAAAACAGATCGACTCTGAATTGTCTTAATAGAAACTTGTTTTTCCAACTGTAATTACTACTCATTTATTGCAACAAAGAATTTTTGTTTGGATAAAGTTGTGAAATTAGACTTTCATATAATTTTAAAACATTTTAAATATTTGAGCAATCTGCAGATGGGTGCTCAATCCTTAAGAGTTTTCACTGGGAAGACATTTTTTTAAAAAGTTATCAAAGTGAAACTCATTTATTGTAGGGGGTTTTAATACTATACCCCAGTTTCTCAGCTTCAGAAAGAAAACACTGTTATCTCTTTATTATACTGAATATTTTGATATTTACCCCTGTGACTTGAAATAACATTTCTTGGATTGTAAAACCCACCGTGAAGCTCTTGGTTAAATTAGTGTTGTGCACTAACATGGTGGTGGGTGCTGTTCACAGGTGATCAGTGTAGTACATTATATCACACTTTGAGGAAATTGAATCATGCTTCCATTCCTGCAAGTTTCTCTTATAATTGTCATTTTAAATGTGTTTGGTTCTCTCCACACCAATCGTGATTCAGCCCTGAGTTCTCAGCCTGGTGTCTAGATCTTTCCAGAGCCAGACCTGAAGGCATTTTGGGTTTCCCTGAGGAGCTGCCCTAGGGTCTTCCACTTGCTGACACTGGATTGCTTCTCCCTGTGCCTGGGGACAGCTGGCTGCCTAGCTCTGTCTCCACCATCCTGTGGGTCCCTTCCCCTGAGTCCTGTGTTGGTGCTTCTGCTTCCTGTACTTAGTATCTCACTCACTGCCATGGTACATTCTGTAGTTTCCTGGGATGAAATCTTTAAAAGTGACATGTCTGATAATTCCATCAAAAGATCCTTTATGGCTGATAACATTTTTTTAAAAATATTTTTTAGTTGTCAATGGACTTTATTTATTTATATGTGGTACTGAGAATCGAACCCAGTGTCTCACATGTGCTAGGCAATTGCTCTACCACTGAACCACAGCCCCAGCCCAGTTGATAACATTTTTATTTCTAGTATTTCCATTTTAACTTTTTTTTTTTTTTTTTTTTTTTTTTACATTTTTGTGCAGTCCTAGGGATTGAACCCAGGGGTGCTACATCCTTGGTCCTTTATATTTTTTATTTTGTGAGACAGGGTCATACTAAGTTGCTGAGGGTAGCATCAAACTTGTGATCTTTCTGCCTCAGCCTTCCAAGTGTCTGAGATCACAGCTCCACTTGAGCTTAAAGACCCTCGTCTGCTCATCTGCTTAAGCATATTGGTCACCTTTCCAATTTTGTTCTTTAATGTGTAGTGATTTGCCAGTCTGACACCTGGACAGCTGAGTTTAGTTCTGCTTGTTTAACCTTTAGGGCATGGAGCCACTTCTCTGTGTTATGGATCAGTAGAGCTTATGCCAGTGTCTGTTGACAGATGGGTATACCCCTGCTTCCTAGGCCCTGTGTGTGGCCGAAGCCACCCTGTTTGGTTTTGTTCTTGCCTTCGGGCAGTGGTTGTGGCCACCTTGTGCTTGGTGTGGGTCCTGGAGGGCTCAACAACTTTCCACAGCCATGTGCCTGGGCCATAGCAGGGGTCTTTTGAGGCCCCCAGGGTTACCCGTGTTTGTTGCTGGCTGCTGGGTTTGAGGTGGGGCAGCCTTTCTGTTTCTTCTTCTCTAGCCTTATCTTAGACCCTGCATGCTTCAACCTTGGGGTTCCAGCTCCTCTGCTCTCTCTGCCCCCTCTTCAGTGGCACATAACCGCCTCCCACCTGGCGAAGGCTTAGAATTTCTGTGCCCTCTCCTTGTAAGCTGCATTCTGCGTGGTTCTCTGGGAGGCCTTGGGCACCAGTGTTCTGCCCTCCCTGTCAGGTGGCCAGCAGGAGCAGGACCTTCCCCAGATCTCAGTGCAGGCTCAGGCTGCAGGTCTTCTTCCCAGAGGCTGCCAGTCTTTGTGGCATCAGGGCAGGGCAAGGGTGCAGGCATGGGAGGGCTTGCGGCCACAAATCTGGGTGGCTGTGGGGTCTTGGCGTTGCTCACCAGCAGTTCTTCTGTAGTGCATGCAGGACACTGTAGTGAGTCCCTCTGCCCCTCAGACTAAGGCAGGCCTGCATACCCACTCTTAAGAGATCACTGCCCTGCCAGGGTCCTCCTTGGAGCACTTGGGGAGGCTGGGTCAGCAGGAGAGTGGGTATGGACTCTTGGGGGTTCCCAGGGCTTCCAAGCTGTCGTGCCAGCCCACCCTTGACCTTTAAAACCCATTAAAATGCTGTTTTTAGAAAGTGCTCCTTTGGTGGCTGCTGCTTCCTGGGTGCTCAGCCAGAGCAGTGTAGGGTTTCTCTATTCTTGGAGAGTCTTTTGGAATTCCCCTGGTGGCCCCCCCTAGAAGCTTAGTATTTTGTAGCTTATCCAGCCTTTTTTCTCCATGGCATTGGTGTTTTCTCTTGGCTGTCTCCATTTTGTGCAGAAGTGGAGACCATACTTGTCTAAATGCCCTCGTTTTTGTCCTCACATTTGATTGATGGCTCCATGAGGGCAGAATTCTGTTTTAAAGATGCAGACCTACAGTCTCTGGAGGAGATCCTGGATCCTGTGTGGGAGGTCAGGCTCTGGGCCCTGCTTGGCCACAGGTCTGCTTTCATGCTGGTGCTGGCTCCTGGGCCCCTACTGAGTGCTTCTGTTGTTGATTTCCTCCTGCTGTTTTCTGYTCTGGGCACCTCCTGGATTGGTCTACAACATCTCTTCTCTCCCAGGGTTTTCTGTGTCTTTACTCCCTGGGTGATTTCTTTCATGTCCAGCCCTTTCTTGTTTTTGCTATCAAGTTTAGTTCTCATGAGATCTGTTTGTTGTTTGTTGGAATGTCCCTTTTAAAGCATCCTGTTCCTGAGTCTGTGAGCAAATCCTGGATATGGGATCCTCTTCAACGTAGCTGCTCACCAGCACCTGGGGAAGCTCCTGCAGCAGCCAAGTCCTTTGATGGCGGATCGTGCAGTGCAGATCCAATTGTTGCTTGTTTCCCTGTGTCTACTTGAAATTATCTTTTCTCCAGTTTGATTTTTAAATTCTAAGTTTTATTGCTATTTTCCTTCTCGTTTTTTTTTTTTTTTTTTAATTCTTCTGGGATGTTGGCCTTTGAAAAACCTTTCCTGTTACAGTGAGGGTCTTGGGGAGGTGAGTTGAGTTTATATGTGCAGATCTGTCATTCTTATCTTAATGAACAGAGGACAGCAGCACACTTCTCCTTTTGAGATTCCCAAACTTCCTATCCAGGTTTAGGTGCAGGGACACCCTCCTTTATTAGAGAGTACATTTGGTAATAATGGCATTAGTGTAAGAATTACTATTATGAAGAAAACTGTTAGATTTGCAAAATAAATAACTAATTTTTTTTTTAACTGTATTAGGCCCAAGTCTGTTTTGGTGGTCTGAGAAGAAAAAAGATGAGCTTCTAAAATTTTGGGAAAATTATATTTTAATCATGGAAACTCTAGAAGGAAATCAGGTAAGTGTTCTCATATTTTTGCAAATCCCATAGTAYACATGATTTTCTCTTTTTCAAACATTAAAAGTAGGGAAGAAAGACCAACTTAGAGATAGCATGATAGAAGCCAGGTGTCCTTTGTTTTCTGGCACAAATGCAATTTACAAGAGCATGTAAATTATTTCAGGAAAGTGAAGAATACTTTCAGCTGACTCATGTTACCATCTTTGACTTCCCTTGGCATTCTCAAACTTCAACATCAACGTCACCTAGAGGGCTTGTTATAAAATATGAACTACTGCCCCAGCCCTAGACCTTCTGATTCAGTAGGACTGAGATAGCTCCCAGGTAGTGTCTCTGCCGCTGTCCCCTGGTGTGTAAGTCCAATCTGTAAGTCGCAGTCCAAGGGGCCAGCTTCCTTGCAGAGTCCTGTGAGATGTCAGTCCACCTGTGCACCAAGCATTGTTGGTGGATCAAAGTGGAGAATGACTCAGGTGCTGAGGAGCTGGACATCCAGGGTGAGAAGCATTTCTGAATCAAGTAAACTTGTGGGGTTTCTTTGGTCTGTAGGTACATAAAACCCCCACTACTTATTTTAGAAACTCAGATTTGCGCATACTTTGAAGGACATCTAAGTCAAATCTAGCAAAAGAGCCAGAGCATGGCCCCAGGCAGGAGGAACACTGAGTTGGGAAGTGGCTGCACTTCCGCAGGCTGACCTAGCACAACTTGAGTTACTGGAGAAAGCTTCAGTACCTCTCTTTTAACCTCTGGGTCCATCCCTTCCTGCTTCCAGGTCAGTCAGGATGCCCTGCCATCACATGGGCTGCTGGCTGTGAGTGTAGGCACCACCCTAACTGGGCTCTGGGCTGCACGGGTTGGCTCTGCCACCTCAGGCCGGAGGACTGGAGTCGTGCCATGGTCCAGAGGTGGAGGGATCAGGCCCCCAAGGCCAGTTTCACCAGGGTAAAGTCACAAGGTCTGCTGTCAACGAATAGACGCCTGAGTCCTTAAAGATATTTCCATTTCATGTGATTCTTTGCTCTTATTTTTAGATACATGTTATAAAGCCAGTCTTACCAAAGCTAAACAATCTGTTTGAATATGCAGTGTCAGAGGAACATGGTAATGATCACTTTCTTTTTTGCTTTTTTTTTTTAACTAATATTTCTAGTCCCCCTGTACCACCTGATTTTATAACTAATCCCTATTTATTGTAGAAAATTGGGAAAAATTACTACAATGTAAGGAAGAAAACATGAATCATCTGTAGTGTTGCTGCCGAGTGATGGCAGCTGTCGACAGGCAGATAAGACGCTAGGTCCCCTTGTCTGTAGGTTCGTCACACTCAGTAGTGTCTGTGCCACCTTTGACCATCTCCTTAAATAGCTTTAAGTGGTGGCAGGGTTTTCTGTAGTTCAGAGCTAGGATTAATTTGGTTTTTTAACTTTTGGTCATGAAAAATTCCATGCATGTCTATAAGGGAAAGAGCTGTGGGATGAAGCCCTTCCCACTACTGCGGATGTGTGTCCTATGCCTCAACCAGGTGCCATAGTCCTGGCGTCCACAGGCATTTCACAGTAGGTCCTTAAAAGACGGGGATGGTTCTTAGAGCTTTAAAGATGGTGTGTGTTGTGTGTTAACAAGAGCTCTTTGATAGGAATATACACCCTGACTGCTTTCCATTTTTGGGTTTTTTGTTTTTTTCTTTTTTTTTTTGTGGAGGTGCTGGGGATTGAACCCAGAGCCTTAGTGCATGCTAGGCATGCACTCTACCAACTGAGCTATATCCCCAGCCCCTCCATTTTTATTCTCTATATCTATTACATATATAAACATATGTTTATCTTTTTGTTAGAGCATTGGGGTTCTATTATAGTCATGTATTTTAGCCTTCTTTGGAAAAGAAAATTCTAGAATATAAGTGTAAACATGTTTTTTAAGCCTTTGATTGCCGCTGCATTAGGAGAACTTTCTAGGAGAAATACGGTGAAACTTGAGCTTCTGAAAATTATTTTGTGAAATTGAGTTTAGATCAATGAAACAGCTAAATTCAGGCCAACAGTGTTTTATATTTATAAGAATGATAAAGTGCTGCATTATTGTGTTTACACATGAGGATTAACCTGGGTAAATGGGTTTTAGCGCCTGCTCTAGATAATTATGACTTTAATAGTTTGACCCCCAAGGAATTGAGCTTTTCTCTGCTGATTGCAGTAGCTGTTTCCTGAGATGCTGGGATTTTTCACAGACCATAAGCATCCATGTCCCCACCTGGGGCTAGCATTTAATTGGATCCTGTTGTGGCTGCACTCATGCACTTACTATTAAAATGATGCTCTTATTACCACATTTTGCCCACAGCTCTTGGCAAACCAAATCAAATAACAGTGACCGATTTTGAAAAATTACCACCGCCAGAGTTGAACAAGCATGTTCATATAAATTACAAATAATGACCAATTTATTTATAGAATGTCATGAATTAAAAATCCCGGATATTTTTTCCTACTAGAATTAAAGGAAATTTCATGAGTCATAAAAATATCTCTAAAGTACACAGTTTTTCTGTCTTTCATTTGCTCACTCAATTACATTTTCACTTAATAGATATTTACTTAGCAGGCAGTTCATGTTAAGCACAGGGGACAGAGTGGTAGGAGAGGTGCAGTGCCTTTTCACTAGAGTTTTGTCTTCTATGGAAAACGAGGTTTGATTTTAGGTCCTTTGGAAGGAGCAGAGAAGGCTGAGGTGGAGTGTAGGGTGCGGGGTGTTCAGCGGAGGCCTCTGCTGGGTGTGCTGTCTAAGCGCCTACAGGGAAACAGCACAAGCCCCTGGAACTGTGGCTTGTCAGTCCGTGGCTTGTCCAGCCTCCTGGGAGCAGTGGGAAGCTGCTCCAGGGTTTAAGCAGAGGAAGTGATGGTTTCAGATTCCTGTAGGAAAACTGGATTGAAGTGGGTCAGAGAGCTGGTTGAAAGCAGCACCCCAGATCTGAAGCTCCCCCTTGCCCACGACGGGTAACATTATTTTTGTATACCGAAGCATGTTTCACATTTGTTTGTAGTCCTTTAAATGAACCTATCTGAATACAGAATTCTGAACACCAACATTATTTTGGTTATTTAGCAGACGCCCTTGGATGTAGTAAAGCAAACTCACTTCCGTAGCGATAGTGAAGCAACGTGTCTGTGCACATATCTGTGCATGGACAGGGCCCAGTGTCAGCATTAAATGTTTATCTCCGCAGGCTGCTGGCTGTTTCACCCCTCCTGGCACATGTGTGTTTATAAAAGAATGTTTGAAAGTGAGAATAAAATCCTGACCAAAGAAGGTGTTCTCCACTTTCTGGAGCTGTATGAATCTGAGTGTCTTCCATTTTCACCAGACTTTTCCGAGGTAACACACCTTCTCCCTCCTCGCTGCCTTGCCAGGAGAGGGACATGCATTTGTTTTGTCGTGTCACCATGGTCTCAGGAAAGCGCTTGGGACACCGCATCAGCGACTTTCAGTTACAGAGTGCACACAGCATACCCTGTTTCTCTGAACCAGCTCTAACTTTAGAAGAATAGGGGGACCATGGCTCTTTCAAACTAGGCTCCTGGGAGCCAATGGTAACCCTACCCTGCTTGGGAACAGCTGTGTCATCTGTTGACACACTGACTGGGGGCCGCCTGCAACGTGGCCCTCGTAAGGAAGTAGTCCTCTGCCATTGTTCTTCAGACTCCACCTGTCCAGAGTGTGAGAGCTGATGTTGACGCTTTTTCGTGACAGTGTCCCCCAGCTGTGTTGCTGCCCTGTGTTATACAGAGCTGGCCTCCTGGTTTCACTCCTTAGAGTCTGACCTCTGACTGTTAGGAGCCACACAGTGGAGCATGGCATAGTCCCTGTGACTCAAGATCCCTGCCTTGGGGCATGTAAGCCCCTTTGATTGACAGGTGGCCCGGTCAGTTCTTCCAGTCCCCTGGGTCTGTGCTCTTCTGTTGGACACGCATCATTTTTCTGTGTCTCCTTCCCGATTCACATGAGCTTGCTTTTTTGACTAGTGTCAAGTAGGATTTTGGGATGTGAATCTCCCCACTGAGCGTGGGGCTCAGTCCTCCCTGAGTGTCTCTGTTTTTCTTGTTACTGTCTTTGTTTCCCAGGTGTCTCTTCTTTCTGACCCACAGTGTGAACTCCCTAGTGTGCTGTAGGATTTTATGGGTGGGAAAATTCTGTCCTTTTTTTGTCATTCTGGTAGAATTAGGGTTCCCCCAGGACCCTCTTGAGTTCACTGCTGCATGAGAGTCCCTTTGCTGACCACAGTTCTTCTGCCTCCTCGTGGGCCCCAAGGGGGGGTGTCACCTTCCACATGTGCAGTTAAAACTCCACTGCCTCTTTCTCTCTTTTTTTCAGTTTATTATTGGACCATTAATGGATGCCCTTTCAGAGAGCTCTCTCTATGGCAGGTAAGCATTCTGTCACCTAGCAGTAATGCAGGACGACGTATTGACATATAGGTTTGACATTTTGAAGCATAACCAGATTGTTTAACCTGTTTAGTGCATAACCTATGTTGCCTTATGGAAAATGAGCATTTTTCCCCTAAATCTTATAGTGCTGTATTTGTTATTCTTCTGACCTTCTATTATTTACATCACATGTTCCTTCTTGCTTGTTCCTTTTACCRTGAACTCTTTCATTTTGGGCTTTTGAGAGCCATATTTTATATAGCTCATTCTCTTTGCCTGCTCCTGCTTTCTGCCGCTCTGAAAATTGTGGTGACTTTGGCCAACTAACACTTTGAACCTTGTTTTTTTTCTTTTTCTTTTAACTTTTTCTTTTCCCATAAGTTTCACACCAGTAGAAAAGTTCTGGGAATAATATAAAGAATTCCCACTTATCTTCATCCTTGTTCTCCAGATGTTAATGTTCCACCATGTTTGCTCAATTGTTATCTCTACCTGTGTGCTTGGTGTGTGCAGCTTTTTCCTTGTCTGTTTGCTGACCAGAGTTAGCCATATAGATTTATTTCATTAGCTGTCCATCCATTTATCCACCCATTCATCCATCTATCTATCTGTTCATCCACCTATCCATCCATCCATTCATCCATCTACCTGCCCATTCATCCACCTGTCTATCCATCCATCCATTTGCCCATCCATCCATCCATCCATCCACCTGTCCATCCATCTGCCCATTCATCCATCTGTCATCTGTTCATCCATCCATTTATCCACCTGTCCATTCATCCATTTGCCTATCTGCCCATCCATCCATTCATCCACCTGTTTACCTGTCTGTCCATCCATCCATCCACCCACCCATCGATTTACCTGTCTGTCCATCCTAAGAACCATRGATTCATTCCAGTATATCCAACTTCAGTCCAGAACTGCAGGGTCACTTCTGACCTTTTTCCTTTCCACCTTTGACAGTGACTGTCACGATTCATAAAATGTCCACTTATTTGCCACGTCTACCTTTTGAGAAACTTAGCTGTGAGTAGTGTTGGTCAGGGTTGTGCCTTGGCCTTGTTTTTTGAAGAATTATCTGTTCTCCTAAATTATGTCTTAAAATGCCCTCCTTTTGAATTGTGTTGTCTTTCTAATGTCAACTAACAAAATTTAAAGCTCAAGTGTTCTGTTTGGTATGCTGCTAAACAGAACCCCCCCATGCCAGTTTCTGTAAGAGTTTCTGATGTCAGTGCCACATTGTGCTGATTCTCAGTGTCTGTGTGTAAGTATTAAGGGAGCATGGCAGTGTTTGATGTGCTGGTGAGCTTCAGTCTTTGCCCAAGTCTTTGCTGTAGGGTGTGCTCTGAGCTGAGCACAGCTGAGGAGCAGGAAGGCCAGTGAGGGAGTCTCAGTGCTGCCAGGAGTGGACACAGCTCTTCCCAGAGCTGCAGGGTCCAGTTAGCAGACAGTGCTCCTGGCAGAAGCATGGAGCAGAAAYGTGGCTTCAGCAGACGCCAAGAATTAGACACTCTAGCAGACGTCATTTATTACCGATGTCTGTCTTTGCTATGAATTTTTTTAATTTCAGGCCTAAAAATTAAAGTCATTAAATTCAATGTTGGAAGCAATAAAATAGAGTTTACATTTGCCATTTTAGGCTACTGCTTTTCAAGGGGCCGTTTAGCTAGATGTACAGGGGCCAAGTGGAGGCTCTCTTGGTGGGTCCTGCCTCCCTAGCGGGGCATGACACCTGCCCACCTTCCCACAAGCCCTGCCTTCTCTGTAACCAGAAACAGCCTCAGAACTTTGCTGAAGAATTCAGGGYAGGTTCAGAAAAAGCAGGTTTTCTGATCATGTTAGTGTAGAAAGACTCTAGGGCCGAAGTCTGTGTAGACTGGTTTGCATATACTCACTTGTAAGTGGATTTAAATATGTTTTTTTCTCCCTTCTTTGTCTGTAGGTCCCCAGGCCAGCTGGTAGGAAGTGGTTCTCCATTGGGATTAAAGTTACAGAAGTTTTTAGTCACTTATGTTTCTCTTCTTCCAGAAGAAATAAAGAGTATGTGTCAGAAAAGAGGTTTTTCAACTTTCGAACACTTTATCCGTTTCTTGATGTTATCAGCTTGTTGGTGTGCGCACTGCCATGTTACCTGTCATTGGTGCTCTCTAGGACGAGCCACTGGTCACGGTCATCCAGGATCTGTCTAAGCCAGCAGGCGCTCTGCCTTGGCAGATATGCCACTGAGGTGCTGGCATGATCAGCCTTTGTGAGGTGGGGGTGCTGCGCTTGGTGGTCTTCTGTGACCTTCTGCTCTGCAGTTCAAGATTAGTGAACTGTATGGAACAACGATAGGCCCTGGTTGTAAAGAACACTTATGAACAGAATATCCATTGTGGCCGTTTTCCTGCAGTTGCCACTGGCTTAGAAAGATAAGAAAAAATACATGTGTTTTATAGGAGACCTGTGTCCTAGAAGCCACCTTCCACTCAGATTGGGGGTTTGCTCTTCTTCCCAAGGAAGTGAGYGGTCGCAGGTGCAGGTACCGTGGGCGTCCCTGGCCGAGCAGCCGGATGCTGTGCTTTCAGGTCCTTCCTTCAGTCCTGCTCTGTGAGCTAGAAGTTGACCCAGGCTGTGGGATGCTTTTTTGTCCTTTGTAGTTAATCTGCAAGCCAGATGACCAGATGACCAATGATTCTTTCAGTTTAAAACTCAGGAGAAAGGGAAACATGGTCTGTTTCAGTCATTATTATAAGTTTTACAGAAAGTCAGTGGTTTCGCTTGCTTTTTTAAAACAGTTGATGGAGAATTCAATTTGGAGCCCTGCTTTAGTTGTAGTGTCTGGCCTCCAGCCACCCACATRGGCCACACCCCAGTGCCACCAGGTGGGGTCAGGGTGCCTGGCATTCATGGCTCAGCTGGGCTTGGTAAGTCCGTGGGATGAGCGTGAGGCAACTCACTGTCTCCTGGCATCTTGAGTGAAGGTTGGCCACACCCTGAGGTTTCATGAACTTGGTTGGTGTGCCCAGAAGAGAGAGTTGAAATCTTTGGTCAGTTCTTGGTGATTTTTTTTTTTTTTTTCAGTCACAGTTTCTGTGAATATATCTAGTTTTGTGTTGGTTACTTTAGAAGATATGAAATACGTATAACCCCCATGGGCAATTCYGAGCTTTCTTAAAGTCCTTCTACAGTGCTGATCTGAGAAAGGGCCTTGGCTGACCCCCCCTCAGTCCAGAGGAGGAGGAAGGAAAGCACCATCCCTGAGTCTTGGGGAGAAGTGTCGGAGTCCAGGGCAGTAGGACAGCTATGAGGGAGGTGTGCTACTGAGGCCAGGGTCAGGCCAGCCTCCCGCTCCCGCCAGCTGAAGCCTTACTGCTAGTTTTTTCAAAAAGTGTACCTGCATGGCGACCCGAGTCTCCATGGCGCTGTGGGTGTCTTATCTTCCTAGATAGGAAGGAAACGGAAACTGAAAGAACATGGATTTTTTTTTTTTTTTTTTTTTTAAGCAACAACAGCTTCATTGAAATTCTCAGTGGCCCTTTCACAGGCTCAGTCCTGTGTTGTTAATTAACCAACAAGTGTGGTTGGTTGTCCTCACACTTGTTCGACTGCCACCCTATCTGATTCCAGAGTGTTCCATCAGCCCTAAAGCGACCTCCATGCTGGTAGCAGCCCCCCCCCTCCTTCCCACAGCTCCCGGCAGCCGCCAGCCACTCTGCTGCTATAGCTGGACCTTGCGGCCAGGCGTCCCCTCTCCCTGAGCCATGTTTCTGAGGTTCATGCAGATGTCACCCTTCCTGCCCATGGTTGGCTCATGCCACCATGTGGGCAATGCCCATCTTGTCATCTCCTGGTTGGCTGGCAGTCACTTGCATGGTTTGTGCCTGTTGTTTTTGGTTCCCTTGGGTGTGGGGTCACAGGGTACGCCGATGGTGTCTTGGAGAAGCCCACTCTGTGCGGGTGGCTGCTCTGTTGGCACGCCCGTGCGCAGGTCCAGACTCCACGCTCCCCGGTCTCTGGAGCCCGCCACCCTCGATGTCCTCACAGGTGTGGAGTCGCCTGTGGGATGGCATTGTGTTTCCCTCGTACCTTAGGGCACTGAGCGTCTCCCTGGTACTCTTTGACAAAGACGCCCTTTCCCCCTTTTTCCAGGTGGCTTTCTGCTCAGGTTCCTTCAGAAGATGACAAGCAGGCACTGGTGTGCGGTGCCTGTGCTCTTTCTGTCCAGGGCTCTGGCGAATGTCCCGCGGTGCAAGGCCCTGGGAGTGGAAGGGCTGCTGGCCCTCAGGTACAGGACTGTTCGTTTGCCTTTTCTGTCCATGTTTTTCCCTGTCCTCTAGTCCAAAGCATGTGGCTCAGTCAATGATTTTACACTATGTAGTTGAGCTCACTTTGTTTCATGAATTACTAATTTTAAACGGGTACAAGATATGTGCTCTTGGACTTTGACCATTTTAAGGCAAGCAAGATTTTTTTTATTGGTAAGTATAAAACTAAAGATAAAATATCAATGCATAATATTGATTAGAGTGTGTTTCAAAAAATGTAAAATTCATACTTTAAAAGAGTCTTCATTTTTAGTCTTATTTTTAGAAGAGATTTGTTACATACTGAAGTTGTAAAGTTATATCAGTAGTCACTGATGGTTAGCATTGTCTTTGGAATGTGGAAAGGGCTGCCCTGTGTCTAGGTGGCGGGTGTGGAAGGGTCCTCTTTGTTTGGTGGCAGGGATGTTCTTCGGTGCACCATGATCACACACCAGGTCCTGCTGCGGGGCGCAGCACAGTGCTATTTACTTCAGGCGGCTCTGCGTTTGGTGGACGTGGTAAGTGACCCTCCAAATTCCCTTTGTGGGTCTGTCTCAGGGTGTGGTTGTGGACAGGAGCAGCAGCCTGGCCCCGCACCTTCAGCAGGCTGTAGCTCTGCGGGCCCTGGGAACTTTGGTGAATTTACCCTGTCCTGGGGATGGGAGGCCCGTGTGCAGAGTGAATAACTGGAGATGCTCTATCATAACCAGGTCACATGATGGTCATCCCTTTCACTTACAAATACTAAACAGTACTCTTCAAACTCCCTGCCTAGGAGCAAGTGTCCCTCTGCGATGTCTCTGCACTCCTCATGTCTCTGAGACAGGAGGAATCCTTAGGACGAGGAACTCTGCTGTGGACAGAGGTAAGACCACACTTGAGCGCTTCGAAGCTTTATAAACTCACTTTCTGAGTTGGCTCCTGATTGGTGGGTAGGATGCCAGGATCACCCTGTGGCCTGCCAGCAGGGACTCTGTGGCTCTGTGAGTGGTCCTCGAGTGGAGCTGGGGCTGTGGGGGAGGGCTGCCTGCAGGGGAGCTGGGAGGGTCCTTGACCAGGTGCCATGAGAATTGAGCCACATCAGGCCCCACAGCGTGAGCAGCAGGGAGACTCTCTCAGTTCTCTCAGGTAGTGGCCCTGGCCTGACGTGACATTGGGGTCATTGGTAATTCTCCTGACTCTAGGTCCTAGTATTAGACTCTCTCCTCCCCTGCATGGTCCAGACTCCTGGGAAGCTGCCCCGCGAGAGGACAAGTCCTCGACCTTCCTGGCCTGGAGGCCCTGCTGCCTCTCTGACCACCTCTGTTTTCAGGGGACTCTGCACAGCTTGGCTGCCGCCGCCACCTCTTTTTTTTTTTTTTTTTTTTTAAATGGGACTTAATTCACACTATTAATTTACTGATTTTAGCTCTTTTTTATTATATACTTGCTTGAGTTCTACCTCTTTTAAGGGTAGGAACCATACATTTAAAACATGTCTGTTCGGTGCCTAAGAGACTACTGAGGAGGAGTGATTTCCTTTTGAGGGCCGTTGGGACCATCATTTATGGAGAGGAATGAGGGACCTGCCTGGATGGTGTGACAGGAGGTGTGACAAACCTGCCTTGGGTACAGGAGGATGAGTTGATCCCAGTGTGTGGATCAACTGGAATTAAGGAGGGTCAGTGAGAGGCCTTTAAACACTAGAATTCACTGTCTTAATCGTGATGCAACTAATTATATGGAATTAGAAAAAATATAGAACCATGTAAATAAACAAAAACCACCTGTAATGTTTGTTGTCAAACTGAATCCATACATTTTGGTTTGTTCCTTAATTTTATTTCCCATGAACATATGTACTCTTTCTTGCTTTTTGTTTAAGTGAAGGGCACTCAACCATTGAGCCACATTCTCAGCCCTTTTTTGTATTTTATTTATTTAGAGACAGCGTCTCACTGAATTACTTAGTGCCTTGTTTTTGCTAAGGCTTTGAACTCATGATCTCCTGCCTCAGCCTCCCGAGCCACTGGGATTGCAGTTGTGTGCCACTGTGCCTGGCTAATCGTGTATTTTTAAAAAGATGAATTAATATATTGTTACATAAGATATTCTTACAGTAATTAAGATTGCACGGTTTTGAATTTTATTTTTTGTTTTCATAAATCTCAGTATTTTGGCATTTTGCTAATAATCTTAAGTTGTGATATTTAAAAATTCAGTTAATGAAATATTTTGGTTTTAATCAGCTCTCCATTGGACTGGCTGCAGTTTTTGCTCTCATAAACATACTGAGCATGGCATGTTCCCACAGGCTTTGACTTATCTACCTACACCTCTCTAGAGGGTGGGTTCGCAGGATTGGCACTGCTGGGTCTCAGCATCTTAACGTTCTTGCAGGACAGAGGGGAGCCTGGGGGTCTGGAGGTGCGTGTCCACATCACCACACAGCCCCCTGGCCTGCACGCCTCCCCCTGGGAGCTCTCACCACTGGTAGATGAGCATTTGTCTCTCTCTGATTACCTTGTGTTTTCGACACTCTCATGCTTCTTATTTTTCGTATATCCTCTGTGAATTGTCTGTTTCCATCCTTCCTGCATTTTCTTTTAGGGGTTTTAGTGTTTTTTTTTCTATTTGAATAAATTTTTTTTTAATATTGAGGGTATTGATAAGTTATGTATCTTGCAAATAACTTTTCTTGGTTTGTTTTTATACACTCAGCTTCACCTGCCTGACTAGGTAATGAATCTCTATGGTTTGAAGATTGAAATAATTGGCCAGGAACATCTTGCTGCTCTTGCTCTTCTGCCCTGCCTGTCCCTAAAGAAGTGGTAGCTTCTGATGCAGACTCTGCGTGCCACCCTTCAGACTTTAACTAAAGCGCCCTCATGAGTTTCAGTCAGCATGCAGAGGCCTTTCTCACGCTGTGCATGTGTAGTGTCCCCTGGGTCCTTGTGCTSTCTTCTTTCAGCTCCCCAATCCTGGGCTCCTGTTTGACCAGTCTTTGCTTTTACAGAGAAGGTGCCTAGGTAATCTTGTTGTTCACTTCTGCAGATCTGCCTGTAGGACAGGTTCTTAGGAGTGGGATTGCTGGTAAGGTGAAGTGCATATGTGGTTCTGGGGGTGTGGCCATGTGTCCCCCATGGATGTGTGTTAGTTTTCTTACCACAGATGGAGTGGCTGAAGATAGCATGTGTTTGTCTCACTCACTGCTGGGGCTTGGGAGTCTGAAGTCAGTTTCATGGGCTGAAACCAAGGTTCTCGGGGAGAACCATCTCCTCACCCCAGCTTCTAGAGCTGCAGCCCTTCCCCTCCCAGCCCAGCAGACCAGCATCTTCAAGTCTCTGCCTGGTGTTCATGAGAGCCAGGGGGTCCTCAGGTAATGCAGGGCTCCTTACTGGAATCCTCCACTGAATGATGGCCTGAGACCCTTTTCCCAGAAGGTGACATTCATGGTTTCCAGGGATGAGGGCCTGGGTATCTTTGGGTATTGCTGTGCCATGCACTGCAGACTGCTTGGGTTTCTCTTTGAACACTTGAACTTTCTCCAGGCCAGTGGAAGAGAAAGGTCATCTCAGTGTGATTTTGTGTCTGTTGAGGTTGGACACTTCTTCATCTAGTTTTCATTTTTGTTCTTAACTTTTTTTTTTTTTATTAGGAAAATTTAAAAATCCTTAAAGAGTCTAACAGCTTTTATGTGTCTGTCATCATCCAGTGCCATCACTGCTATGGCCGGTTTTCTTCACCTAGGACCTCTCTCTCTTCTTCCTTCCTCTCTTAATTATTCTGTGTCTAATCCTATCAGATTTTATTTCATCTATAAGTATTTTAGCATGTACTGCCAAAAGATAAGGCCTAAGATTTAGCCCCTTGCACCTAAAAAACTTGAGTGAGGGGCAGGGGTTTATTTCAAATACCCAGTAAACGAGTCTCCTGTCCTTGGGTCTGATGGTCGAAGTGTCTCTTCAGGTGTCCCCATAGGCCTCGCCCTGCAGTTGGCAGGTCTGGTTTGCACACTGTGGGCTCTAGTCCACCTGAGTTCATCTTGCCGTCTGGTGTGAGCATGAGGTGGGAGTGGGAAAGTGCATGTATCCCTGGGCTGAGTCCAAGTGTCTGCTGCTACTTGTCCTCCCTTTGGTTCAACAAGCCAGGCCTTTCTGTTTTATGTTTGTTTTTTTTTTTTTTTTATTAAGGATCCAGGTCTTTATTTGCTCCACTTAATTTTGGGTTTTGTAATCCATTCACATCTGCTTCCGTCCTCCTCCTCTTCCTCTCACTTTCCTGTAGCTGGCTTTGCTGATCTCCTGATACCTTGAATTCATTTACTGAGGACTATTTACCACCCTCCTCTGTACGCCAGGCATTCTGCCGGGCAGCAAGAGAAACATGGTGGCTGTCCTTGGATGCTTATGGTCTGGTGGCTTGTGGATGAACCCAAATTTTATTCTTTTGTTTGTTTGTTTGTTTAATAATGGAAGTACTTATGTACTGAATCAGTACATGTTTATGTATTGAATTGTCTATGTGGCTATAACAAAATACAATACCTGAGGCTGTGTACTTTACAAAGAGGTTTTTAGGCCCACAGTGCTGGTGGCTAAAGGGTCCAGACAGAGTGGTTCTGGCATTCTGAAGAGGCCCCTCTGTCTGTTAGAACATGGTAGAGGAATGGAAAGGGAGCTGGCCCAGGCAGAAGGGCCACATCTGTGCGATGGCTTCGCTGTGTGACAGCCTGCTGTCATGAGAACCCACTCCATGAGATTGACACCATTGAAGCCTTGCTGACTGGTCACCTTCCATTGAGCCCCACTCTTAGAGTCCCCACCCTCTCAGGGCTGCCCTAGTGGGGTCCACGCTTCTGTCAAAGGAACCCTTGTTGCACATTCAGGCCACACCCRCAGCCTGGCCTGAGTATGTCTTAGGTCAAGCTGGCTGTACCCTTGACTTTGTAATGTATTATTATTATGTCAACAATCTAGTTATTTTGCCTCTTACATGTAACTTTGGATGACCTTAACAGATGCAAAAAATATTTTTAAATGTTCTTTTTAAAAGGGAGATTGATTACATAATTATTTTCTTCATTTTCTTTCTTTCTTTCCTTCCTTCTTTCTTCCTTTCTTCCTTCCTTCCTTCCTTTCTTTCTTCCTTTCTTTTTCTTTCTTTTCTTCCTTCCTTCCTTCCTTCCTTCCTTCATTTCTTCCTTTTCTTCCTTCCTTCCTTTCTTCCTTTCTTTCTTCCTTCCTTTCTTTCTTTCTTTCCTTCCTTCCTTCCCAGGAGTTGAACTCAGGGGCTCTTAAACACTTAGCCACATCCCCAGCCCTTTTTTATTTTTTTAATTTTAAAGATAGGGTCTCACTGTATTGCTTGGGGCCTTGCTGAGTTGCTGAGATTGTCTTCGAACTTATGATCCTCCTACCTCAGCCTCTGACCTCCTGGGATAACAGGCGTGTGCCACCACATCAGGCTACTTCCTTCATATTTGAACTCATTTATTGAAGTGTACATGAAGAAAGACACTGTAAAAACATATTTAAATTCGCATTTAAATTCATACTGATTAATGTTCAAATTCACAGTTACATCTGATCAGAGAATAATTRTGAAATCCTGTGACTTTTATTTTTGTTGGACTTCTAAGAGATGTAATGGAGTAGGGCTGCAATGGCATTTCTCTTTTAAGTCAGTATTTTTTAATACGTACACATGGTAAATAAGCTTGTGAGAAGGGTAGGAAACTTTAGGTGCAATTTTCATCAACTCTTACATTCTTTCAAAAATAAAAGTTCTTATTTTCATATAGGAAGCTGGAATGAGTCTTAATTTACGATTGTGATTTGTTTTATATAATGTGCTATTTTGTATAAAGACGTTGTTTAAGAATGCTTTCTCGGAAGGTACGCTTCGTTGTGTTAGTGGTACAGACACTGTCCTGTCAGGTGGTCAGCTGTGTCTCATGAGTGAGCCATCAACTGAACGCACAGTGCATGTAGACTGTATGCAGTCCTGCGCTGTCCCCTGAGAGCGTCATGGGGCCGTTGTACTGAGGACTTACGCTCAGTTTATTATGGAAGAAAGAAGCTGGCTTAGGGACACCAGCAAGGCTGTGTTCAGGTAGACTTAAGCCATCCATTCCGTGTCCCCTCCCAGCTCTGTGACTGGCTGCGTGAGAACGAGCTGTACTTCAGGCAACCCTCTGCCAGCGGCTCCCAGGGCCTGCAGGAGGCATCCTTGGCCACATACGTGAAGAACCTTGTCCAGGAGTACGTGAGGTCCCCTGCCTGGGAAGGTGAGTCTGAGGGCTGTGTGTGGACCGAGCCAGATGCTTTCCAAGAGAGCTTCACTGGCCTCTCAGATTCTGAAGCAAATGTGTGATGATTTGCTGATGTTGAACTTGAATTTCAGTCTGATCGTGTGAGTAGCAGAAGTTCTGCCCCCTGTTTGTACTTCAGCTGTTCTGAGACTTGTGATGTCACACTATTTCAGACGTCCAAAAGCTGCTGAGTCACCACAGTAGGAATTGGACACAAGGACACTTTATTTTTCATTAATAATTTCTATTTCTCACATATGGTAATTTTTTTCCCCATATTTTTTGTGGCTGCATTGTAGCTGTACACAGTGGTGGGATCTGTCCTCAMACAGTGTGACAATGTGATGTGGCCAGTTCCCTCCCCAGAGTTCCTTTCCTCCCTTCCTCCTCCCCCTCTCCTACACTGGTTTCCCTTCCATTTTGATGACCCCCCCTCCCCTTTTACTTTTCCTCTCTGGCTTCTGCACATGAGAGGAAACATGTGACCCTTGATGGTCAGAGTTGACTCATTTCACTTAGCACGATGGTCTCAAGTCCGTCCAWTTTCCTGCAGTGACATGATTTCATTCTTCTTTATGGCTGAATAAAACTCTAGTGTATATTCCATATGTTTTTCATCCATTGCTGGATGCCTAGGCTGCTCCGAAATAAATTAAATGGATTAATTTATTCTACAGCACTGATCCTGGAGCTAGATGTACAGACGTGTTTTGGAATCTGTGTAATGGAAAATACGTGGACACAGATTGATGTTTCTTGTTTTCAGAGTTTCCCTTTAGCATGCGCTGATTATAAGAAACAGTTTTAGAGAAAACTTTTTTTGAATGGATGGTGTTGTTAATTTTTTCTTTTTATCACATACTTAGTGAAGACCAGGATTTGGTCTGTGTTTGCGTGCCGGGGATCAAGCCCAGGCTTCACAGGTGCCTGGCAGGCTCTCTGCCACAGAGCTGTATCCCCAGCCACTGAAGAGCAGTTTTATAAAGACCCCTTCTTTGAGGACAGTATGAGAGAAAGAGTCTTAGCAGGCTCATTAATTAGAATTCTTTTTACATTTCTAATGCTTCCCCTTCATTAATGTCATTAGCGATAATTTGGTAAAATTGCATCTTTGAATTTAATGTGTCCTAAATTTCCTTTGTCTCAAACCAGCTCATTTTCATTTGCTGATTTCTCTAATCTGATCATGGCATAGGTCTTAAATGATCAGATAATTATCCTTTCAGCATGCATGAGTTTATCTTTCTTGGAACATTTCTCTCTGTTGTGCTTTTCCTTGAGAGTTGTCAGGCCCGTAGAGGTGGGTGGAGGCCTGCARCCTGGTCTTTGGGCCTCCACCCTGCCTCCCCTCTGCCTCCCCTCTGCCTCTTCTTACCCTTGCTCTGTTTCTCTGGGGAAATCTTTTCAAATGCTAATTTCTACCTTAAGCATTTCCCCTCATTCTTGTGTGGGTTGCCTTCAGAGGCTTCCTGGAGGGCAGACTCCTCTGCTGGGAGTCCTGGTCCCACCAGGACCATGGTGGCTTGCTGGGTGTGCTGTGTCCTGGAATGGGCAGGCCCTCCCCTTGCAGAGCCCTGGTCGCTCTCCTTGTTTGGAGGTCTTGTTTCCCACCTAGCTGGTCCTTTTCAGCCGTCCAGTCATCAGAGCCTGCTCTTCAGGGAGCCTGCTCCTGCWACCCTCCAGGGCAGTGCCCTGCTGTGGCACCTGCTCCTCTTCTCGGGGTTCTGGTTCTGTGTCCTTCCTAGCGTGTGATTGCTGCTTTCCTCCTGTGCTGCCTATAGGTTCCCAGGCATGGGGACCATGGTGTGGTYGGTGCGCAGATCAGTGTGAGGCATGCAGCACACGTGCAGTTGGTTTTGTTTTCACCCTGAGCATGTGATACTGACCCTCGCGGGCCATGGCTGTTGCTCTAGTATAAACATGAGAAGGAACTGTCACTTAGCTGTTTTGCCTCTGAAGCGGCGTCTCTGAAAGGTTTTGTTAATGCCTTGTAAACCTCGACTTCTGTCCCTCAGCAGGAGAAGGCGGCCTCATGCCTGATGGGCTAGAGGCCCGGCTGACGGCCACGATGGTATTGCTGGCGGTGGATGTGGAAGGAAAGAAGGCCCAATACAGGTAATGGACCTGGTGACAAGAACCCATCAGACATCTGATTCGTGTTCAGGCTCTTCAGTGCCTCGTGTAGAGCTAGCTGGTCCTGGGACTGGGCCAYGACATTGGTAACACTCCGAAGAAGTGTTTAAAATTAACAGCCAGTACATAGGAAAGGGGACTTACTGGTGCTTTTAGGTTGCTAAGTTAAACACTAAATTAAATTTAACATTTTAATGTTTAATTAGAGAAGGTAAAAACCCCCTGGTTTTCTACCAGCATTAGAGGATTGGGCTGTGGGAGGCCAGCGTAAGATTGGGGGAAGGCATTACTGGATCTGACTCCTTTGTAAAATACATAATTTTAAAAAATGATAATAAGGATAAAGCTACATCAWTTTTTTTGTACTTTTTAAACACATCTGTTCTTTTTGACTAGTTTGTGTCTTGTTTCTCTGTGTCATGGAAGCAGGCCCTCAGGGTGACTTATGCCTAAGCTGGTACAGGTTCCCCAGGGCCTGGGGGTGGCAGCCGTGGTCCTGCCCTGTGCTTTCTGCTCTAGAGAATCACTATAATTGAGAAAGTAGAGACTGAGAGATTCACTGTGGGTACTGGGTACTTGGTCATCTGCAGGGTGACCTTGTATGTGACTCGGCTAACCAACCCCACAGAGTACAGATGGGAAATAACCCCTGTGCTTTGGAGGTGATTGACTTGGGCATGTTTTTTCACGTGTAGTGAAAAGCAGAGGACACAGAACGTGTTGAGGCTGTTCTTGGATCCCCTGCTGGGAGCCCTGATGAAGTTCGGTACAAATGCCTATGTGCCAGTGCCCAAGACTGACCGGTGTCTGCAGCTGCTACTGATGTTGTTGCACACATGCACGTCGAGGGGCTCCAGCGCCCAGGAAGGTGAGGACAGTGTCCTGCTCGGTGGGTCGCTGCATTCAGGAGAAGGAGAGCATCTCCTGGGGGTGTGGGCATCAGGGATCTGGGCTCCAGTGAGTGACAGGWACTGGTCACGCTGCATGTTACAGTGTTTCATTTGCTTTTTWAAAAAACTTATGCTTTTGCTTGTTAATTTCCAGACCACTGAAAATGGTCACTCTGTCACATCTGGTTATCAGGGTCTGTTTCCAGTTGCCACCAAGCTAGATGCTGTGGGAAGCAGGAGGCTGAGGCGTGAGTGAGGGGGTGATCCTGCGCTTGCTTTGCTTCTAATGGTGTAGAAAACACGTGGTGTAGGTGAAGGCACCGAGCACACTGCTCCACTCTGGCTAAGATGTACGGGCAACAGCGGAGACCTCGTGGCCTTCAGAGATGAGAGTTTTGATATGTGAACCTCAGCTTCCAACCTTTTCTGACCAATTGCATTTGTAATTTTAGAAATTTACTGTTTAAAAATTCATTTATATGTGTGTGTGTGTATATATATATAAAAGTTAGTGATATTGATATGATTAGATTTGAACTCATGTTTATGAAATATTGAGTCTAGTATCAAAATTTTGATATCCTCTCTAATGGGAGCAAAACCGGCTGCTGTGAACTCGACAGTCACTTGTTAGATTTTTGGCTCCTTCAAGGAATCGATTTGATCCTTTCAGCGTGTCCTGACAGTGACTGTTTGTCCTTGGGTTCTCAGCACTGGGTGAGGTCTTGCGCTTTGAAAAGTCCTGGCAATGCTTGATACAAGTGAGCGTGTGGGGTCATGTGTGCTGGACGCACGGTGACCACACCACCTGGGCCCTGGGCCCGCCCTGGGTGAGCTGGCCTGTTGCTCCTCAGGCCTCCTCCACGACCCTGCTTTGACTTTTCCTTTTCACCTGCATACAGTTTAGAAAAGGTTTTTCCCACATATGCTGGTGCTCTTTAATGACACTGATGCTCTTTTAAAACCACTTCATCGAGGTGTGATTGAGATGTTAAAAACTGTACTATTCCATGGGCTTTGAGTGTGTTGCACCCAGGGAGCCACCCCACTTAGGCCACGGAAATACCTGGCATCCCCAGGTTTCCTCTGACCTGCCGTCATCTGTGACAGGAGCATTGTGCAGCACTGGCCCTGCACGTGGCAGGCGTGGGACACAGCAGGGGACTCCGGAGCCATTTCAGGCTCAGAACCATGGCTGGAAGCCAGAGCCCAGCCTGGGGCATCTTGTTTCATGGCTTGTCTCTGCTCTGCAGGCTTCTCGCTCTCGTATCTTCTCCCTAGTCACTTTGCACTGAGCTCGTCGGTGCTGCTGGTGTCATGGGGACTCCTCACTGAGGCCCAAGAAAGGAGCCTTTTCCTGTTGTTGTTGCTGCGCCAGAGCTGTTTCAGATGATGTTATCTTTGCTTGTCAGGGTCTCCCGTCCGAGCCTGTGGGCATCTTGGTTGGTTTCTTCAGGGTGAAGAGGGGGTGTTCTCATGAGTTTCCTTTTCCAGCAGGTGGGCAGGTGAACGCTCAGTCTTCCCAGCACCAGTGTGAAGACAGGACTCTCCCAGCGGGCCTCGTGGCAGTGTCCTTACAGACTTGCCCTTGGGCACGCCTGGGTTTGACTCTGTGGTTTCCTTTTCCTTTTTATAAAGCTTTATAGAACTGGCGTATTTGGATTAGAATTCATGAAGTAGRTTCTCTTACGGCTTCTTTTCTATTTAGATCTTTGTATTTGAAGCGGATTTCTTACAGACGGCATGTGGTAAGGGCCTGATTTTTTATATCTACCCTGATAGTCTCTGTCTTTTAATTGATGTAGATCATTTGCACTTCTTTATATTTTTCTTTTTCTCTTTTTTTTTTTTTGGAGTGGGTTCTCCTGCATTGCCCAGATTGGCCCCTGGCTCCTGGGCCCACGTGGTACTCTCACCTCAGCCTCCTAAGGAGTGGGGACTCTGGGCTCATGCCACTGGGCAGGGCTGCCCATTTGCTTTTGATCTAATAATTTTTGTGTCAGGATTTAGGTCTGTCACTTTATTTTTTGTATTCTGTTTATTTCCCTTATGTTTTTAAAATTTTTTCTCTTTCCTTTCTTGTAGCTTCTTTTSGTCAATTTGAACATTACCATATTTTGTGTTCCATTTCCGTTTGTCCTACTATTGTGTTTGCATTAAATGTTCAGCTATTTTAGTGCTCGCTGTAGAATTACAATGTACATACTTTCTGTAGTGTACTTCGAATTAATATTTAATCACTTGAAGTGAATATAGGAACTTCCCACCTTATATAGGCTCCTTCCCATCCCCATCCCCTTTACAGTGGCCTCCTATTTATGTTTGTGCAGAGCTGTTTCAGATGATGTTATCTTTGCTTTTAGCCATCAGCCATTTTAAAGAACTCGAGAGAAGAAGCTGCTATTCACTGGTGCCTGCAGGTTTCCTTTGCTCTCCTTTCATTCTTGATGTTCAGGTGTCCCTATGGCATTGAAGCCCTTTTATTTTAAAAGCTTCCTGTAGCATTTCTTTTGGAACACGTTTGTTGGCAATGAATAATACTAGTTTTCTTTCATCTGAGGATCTCTCTGTTCACCTCCTATCTAAAGGATACTTTTGCTGGGTATAAATTGCAGGTTTGACAGATCTTACCTTTCAGCAGGTTGAATTGTCGAGCTGCTGGCTTCTGGCCTCTAGGGTGGTTCAGAATCTTCCCTCCTGTGTTATTTCTCTCTGCTTCCAGCATTACTGCTTCATCCCCAGTTTTCAGCATATGGTTAGGTGTCTTGGTAGGAGTCCTTTAAGGAGGGGCGGTTATCCTTTTGAAATCTCCTGACCTCTTTCAGTCTGTATATTTATATCCTTTATCACAGTTGGGAAGTTTTTTTTTTTTTTTTTGAGAGTCTATTTTTTTTTTTTAGATATTTTTCTCTCTGTTTCTCAGATTGTATATTTTTAGTGACTTATTTTTAAGTTCACGGACTCCTGTCTCTTCTTTTGTTTCAGTTATTACACTTCCCAGTCTTAAGATTTCTGTATCTCTTTGATTTATCTGCTGAGACTTTCTGTTTCACTTGTTTTAAGAGTGTTCTGATTGCTTGAGGAAGCATTTTTATAAGAGCTACTTTAACAGTTTCGTATGGTCTGTAGATGGTCCTTCCTGTGAGCTGAGACTCTCTGGTCTCCTGGGAAAGTTCTGCACTTTACCCTTGCTGTTTTGACTGTCATGGTCTTGGACCATGGGTCTCATTTGAGTCCTGCTACAAATGCTGCTTTTGCTCAGCAGCCATTTGAYCCAGGAAGGTCCTGGCCTCGTGTTGTTACCCAGCTCTTGTGGGTGTTGATTCTACCCCTCAGAGTGCTCTCTGGAGCTGCCCCTCACCTGTCCCATCCTGTGGCCCTGCTGGGGCTGGATGGTGAGGTCTCTGTTGGTCYGTGTTGGAATCTGTGGTGTGCGGTGCAGCACCTGCCACGGGTGAGCAGGAACACAGAACTTAGTGGCCACTTCCCAGGCTACTCCGCTCTGGAGCCTCCCAAGCACTGGCTCTCTGCTTCCTGGGTCTCTGTGTTCATCCTCTGATGAGCTCACTGCAGCCCTTGCTGCACTGCTTTCCTGCTGCTCCTGGGTCTGTTGCAATCATAGATGAGCAGAAGGAGGTGTCAGTGGGCTCCCTGACCATTAGGGTCACTTCTTTCTGGATTGTGTACTGCCCTGCGGATGCGTGAGCATTTTCCCTAGGCTCACAGCTGCATTCAGTGTTCAGAGGCATGTCCCTGGCCATCCTGCTAAGGGCTGTCCTTCCTTAGTGACRGTCGCTGGGGCAGGAGTGACCACAGGAAAGCACTGTCAATTGAGGTTACCCTGGGTCATACCAGTGTTCTGTTTCAGGGCTCTTACTTCTGTCATTGTAGCCAGATGCTTTTCCCTACAGACGAGGTGTCCGTGCTTCTGCAGAGCCTCCTCATGTCCGCCTCAGAGAGCGTGTCCGAGTTCATTCTCAGGAGACTCACCATGGACGAGCTTCRCACTGTGAGTAACCCACCTGTACTTCCTTTCATGTTCCCACAGGCAGTCATTGTATTAACCCAAGGAGAAAAATTGCCTTCACATGATAGTTTCTCAAGAAGCAGCAAAAACAGTTTTTGGAGCTTCCTTGTCGTCCTTCCATTGGTGTCATGATCTATGACCTGGCCAGCTATGTAGCTCCTCTGAGTCTCAGTTTCCTCACCTGACAAATGGAGACAGTACACCTGTCTACTTTCCAGGGCTTCAGGAAAGTCGTTTTAGATGGTGCATCATGGGTGAGATGTGCACATCCAGTGCACATCTGGTTTGGCCTCCTAACAGGGCTACTATGGATGGGTGGCCGTAGTGTTGGGACCAGGGCGTTGGTTATTTTTTTTAGCTCTGTTGGTTGTTCTGAGCTACAGGGAGCTTTAGGAATGGTGGGTTTGAACTCAGGCTGCTCTGTGATCGCTGTGTCTTTGCTCTCTCTGTACTCCACAGAGTGAGTTCTTTCCAGGACATCTAAAAATAGTAGAGTTTTTCCCTTTCAGGAATAGTCTGAAAAATAACAGATTTTATAGAAATGTCCATTCGTTTCTGTTGTTGTTTGACACCTGTTGGGACAAATGTTGAAGTAAATTAAAGCTTAGGTTGTCGAGAAAGTGAGAAAATGTACTTACTTAAAGGACTTTTATTTCAGAGTCCAGTTAAGCACTTTCCAGTGTGAACAAGTGTGAAAAAGTAGACAGACAGGTTTGGTAGGTAGGCCCAAGGGTTTGTGGCACAGAGCTGGGGGTGGTGTTTACCCACAGTTGTAAGTCATGCACCCCACGTCTGCATTTCCAAAGGGCATTTAATGAGGCAGCAATAGTACTATAAGTTTTGCACCAATATGATTTTACTATCCTCAGTGTTATTATTACCATTTTAGGGTTTTTATTTTTATGGGGGGACAAGAGCCTTTTATTTTTATTTTAAATATTTATTTTTTAGTTTTAGGTGGACACAATATCTTTGTTTTATATTTATGTGGTGCTGAGGATCAAACCCAGTGCCTCATGCATGCGAGGTGAGCACTCTACATCTGAGCCACAACCCCAGCCCCATATTTTTACCTTTTTGTTATTGGAAATTTTCAAACCTACACAGAAGACCTGTCATGCACCCTTTACATAACCTAAATGCTTATATTTGGATTACAAGCTAAAAACAGTTTGAGAAAGGGAAGGCTTAATGTTATTTTCATTTACTCACAAAGATTTTTAAAAAGTCAACTCTCTTTATGATAGTGCTTAAGTCTTTTGAGAATTTACTCTTTAATAAACAAGGCGTTACCTCCCAGTGAAGTAGGAGCTCAGAGCTCAGTGGATGCCCTGCTGTCTCCCATCCCCATCCCCATGGCTCGGCCCTGCACTGCCTGCTGTCACAACAGTTCTTGGGCGTCTCATGACCGAATGAGATCACAAGGTGGCCTCCTAACAGGGATACTATGGAAGGGTGGCCATCTGCGATGGTACACATAGCCCTGCGTGGAGGAGGACAGGGCTGGCAGATGGGGCAGCTGTGCAACTGCCCGCTGGATATGTCTGCCTGTGCCCGGCCCGGGCTGCTCCTGACCTCCCTCGCCCACAGCATCGGGCAGCCCCCAGCCACTCCTGCGATGTTGGGAGGGTGTTGTGCTACTGGTCTTTTCTGGATTTTCAGCCCCCCACCTTGCCCCTCACTGCCCAGGCCTCTGAGTCCCATGCCTTCCACCCCCATGAGCTGTGTGTGGACTCCAACCTGTTCTGATCCGGCTTTTATCTCCGTGCGACAGACATGATGAGATTGTCTGTGACTGCCCTGTCCTAACCCTAGCCAATAGGTCCCTGTCTGTTGACCTGATCCTTGGCATGTGGGCTGCTGCTGGCCACCTCTAGACCGCTGCCCATCCTTAGTGATGGTGAATCCTTCTCTCGACTCCCCTGAGCCCCTGGTTCCCTTTCTTGGTGGAACGTCCATCCTCTGCTGTGTGGACTTTGGAGCTGGTGCTCTCCAGAGCTGGGCACTGCCTCTCTTCTCGTCCCCAGCTGCAGCTGCACAGGAGGCCCTGTCTCCACCCTGCACTGCCCTCTGCCCCCCACATCTGGCAGCTCAAGTTGARGTTCTCCGGTGTGCCTGGTGAGAGCCAAAGCCCCTATCATTCCTCTTGGGAGCTTCTCCAGGCCCCTTCCCAGAGGAAGCACTGCCCCCTGCCAGTGTCGCACCAGCACACATCCCACTCCTCATCCTTTATTCTCTGCAGCATGTGCAACAACTGTTTCCTCCATGGAATTGCTTCCTGGCACCCAGCAAAGCGCCAGGCAGTTGCTCAGTGGAAACAGATTAGATTGACGGGTGACTCTGTGCCGTGGAGACTTCCTGTGGAGTCTGTTGGGTTGTAATAATGACTAAGGCCACCACTTTCTCTCACTTCCTTGTTTTAAAACCCTGTGATGGACAGGTATTGCTGTCCACCTGTAGCCAAGGATGCTGGGCTTGAGGAGGTGAGGTAGCTGGCCCCGGGGTGCAGAGCTGGTGTGTGAGCCTCGTGTTCTTACCTTGAACACAGCATAGCAGTCAGGACATAGGACAGTCAGGACATAGCTTGGCAGGACATCGCCTCGTGTGGATGTGCGGACAGATGATGCCCTTGCTGGTGAAGTGGGCTGAGAGCTGCGTGCAGTTAGTGTGCTCAAGGCCTGGGAGGCTGCAAGAAGACCGGCTTGTACTGCTTGTGTGTCCACACGGCTGCAAGCCAGCCTGTGCCTGCGTGTGTTTTAATGCTTGTCCTAGGTTTCAGATCTCGACCGTTGCCACTTGTACCTGATGGTCTTAACTGAGCTCATACATCTCCAGCTGAAGTTGGGGTGGAAAACGGGTGCCTCTATCTGCAGAGTTATTTCTCCTTTGAAGAACGCATGCATTCGGCACCTTCAGGAGACCGACAGTGGACAGGTAATCTCTTGGATTCAAGTTTTATTGACAAGTCACACTGGGTATGCATGTTCTCTTGTTATGCAGTATTTTGAAGTCACAGAAAATATTTGCTGAATCTTAAAATAGTGCCTGCAGGTGACAGTACTATGGAAGCCAAGCCCTTGTCCCAGAGCAGTGGAGTGCTGGCTCTGGCAAGCAGCCAGCATGGGCTGCAACCACACAGAGCCCACCATTGCTAGCATGGATCTCAGGTGCAGCAATCCAGGGCCGAGGGAGGCCAGAGCACAYCGGCCTGTCCCCTGTAGCAGCCCAGCCAGGGTCTACAGATGCCACTCCACACAGTGCTTCAGCTTCCAACCCTGGAGCCTCCAGGATCCTCTGACCTCAGCCTTCTACTTCCTGCAGGCTGTTAGAGATTCCAGGCTCCTGAACCCGCTGCTTGGTCACTATCTTGTCTTTCTCTGTGTGAAGCAGCCAGGCCATCTTAGTCCCTACCTCGTATTCATGCATGTGGAGACCCGGGTGTTCTGCATGAAATAACCCAGTCGTGAGACACTTTACAGAGCCCTGTAGAGTAGATCCCACACTCAGACCACAATTCACAGGTGGGGAAACTCGGGCATGGCCTGTCCTTGCTGGTGCTGCTGATAGTACAGGCCCTGGCACTGTGGGTCCTGGGCCTGGCTCTTGTCTGCTGTGCCCATGCCTGACCAAGGGAAGGATTTGTGATTTGGACCCCTTTAAAAAAAAAAATGCATCAGAGTATAGTAAAAGAAGACTGCACCCTGGGAGTGTGTGCAGACACAAGTGGGCAGGAAGGGGTCATGGGGCACCAACCTTGCCCTGGTGTGTGCTGCTGCCTCTTGAGGTCACCGTCTTCCTCCTCTGGAGCACTGCCTTCTCATGCCTGTCAGGAGCAGTGGTCGCTGGGTGGTGGGTGTTGGTTTCCTTTTGTTTCCCCACGTCCAGCTGCTGGGGGGCAGGGGTTTGGGCAGCCTGGCAGCGTAGGTCCTCACTGGGGGCATGCTTCTCTGTCATTACAGGAGCCCACACTTGCTCGTCAGATCCAGAGAGTGGCTAGCATGGCCACCTTGGCCAGGGTGTGCGAGATAGTGGACCTGCAGCAGGAGTCCCTGGACACGGGGCCCCTGGAAAGGTTGCTTTGCACTCTTCCACTTAACCAGACTCTGCAGAAGCCCTGTGCAGAGGACCCAGAGAGCAGCAGGTGGGTCCAGGCACCTCAAACTCACCTCTGCTGTCATCGAGGTGACGGGAGAGTGCCCACATGCCAGGGTGATGTGGGACGGGTGGGGGGCTTCCTCTGGGGTGAACATGTCTATAACGTGTTAATTTCTGCATTTAGTTCCCAAGGACTGTGTAAAGTTGTGAAAGTGTCTACTTTCAGGTAGTTGGAAAATAGGCTTATGAGGTTGCCTGTGTGTAAGAAGACACGATGTTTGACGATGGCTGTGTTTGTCTTAGTTTTATGTTGCTATAACAAAACCTGAGACTGGGAAGTTTATGGAGTTTATTTTGGCTTGTGGCTCTGGAAACTGGAAAGCCTAAGAACATGGTGTGGGTGCATGCTGGGCCCCATGTTGCTGTACCCATGGTGGAGAGACCAGAAGAGCACAGGGATTTGGACCAGAGAACACAAGGGCAGCCTTGTTGTGGGGACCTATGTGCGGTCACCAGTCTAGTTCCTCGAGAGCAAGAACTTGCTCCCAGGCTGGAAGCAGCACTGGTCCACTCATGAGCTCTGAGGGGACCCCCATGCCTCTCCCCCCACCTCCCTGCTGACCAAAGAGCTACCCCGTGGGTTTTGCTGGGGACAGACCACACTCAGACCACAAGGTCTGTGTCCCCTTCATAAGGACAGCATACTGCATGTGAAAGAAACGCGAGACTGGGTTGCCGAAGTGACGCGGGTCTTTCAGTTTTTTTGAGGAGTCATCGCCTTGCCAAGGATGGGGGAAGATTGTAGCCCAGTATGTCCACGATCAGTGGGTCTGCCTCTCTTTCCTGTTGAAACGGTGCTACCCCCTCAAGCCAGCTGCAGAAGGGGACAAGCTGGAGCCCTCACTGCCCTCTGTGCGAACGCCAACACAGATCCTGTGCGCTGCGCTGGACGCCCTCTCTCTTCTGCCCTCTGACCGGGTCTCACCCGTGTTCTGCTGCATGAAGACTCTGGTTCCCCAGGTGAGCGAGTGGCATGACCCAGAGTAGCAGGGGCCAGCGTGGGTCCCAGGCTAAGTGCTCTGTCGCCCTCATCTCCCTCCCCCAGCTGCTGACCTCCTCCGAGTCGCTCTGTGTGGAGTCCTTCGACGTGGCCTGGAGAGTCCTGACCTCCTTGAGCAACACCCAGCTGACGTTCTGGCCCAACTTGAGAGCTTTCGTTCAGTTTGTTTTTGATAATACCATTCTCACCACTGCTGCAAAAACCAAGGGCCAGGCATATTTCAGGATAAAAGAGGTGACTTTCTCATTTCAATGCATGTGACAATGGGGCATGGGGGAGGAGTTGTATGTGTGTGACTCCTGGTTGACTGAGTTGTGACCATGAGTCCAGAATGTGTTCTTGGGCCCGAAATGTTGCAGGATGAGGAAACCTGACTCTCACTGCCTTGGCAGCGTGTTTGGTTCACACAGTGTTGGAATCCTGAATTAGCTGGTCTCTTGGGAATTTGGGAATCTGCCTGAAAACCTAGGTGTCCCTTCTCAAGGGACACTGTGACCTGGTGGCACATTCCTGCAGGACAGCTAGTGCCTGGCGTTGAGCAGGGCTACCCTGTGCTCCCACGTCTCCCTGGGGAATGGACGGCAGGCACTACCTGTCCGTGTTGTCCTGCTGGGATTTCCTTGGAGAAATACTCCACTGGATCTGATCTGGCAGAAGGTCTCTCTGGGTTCAGGGAGGAGTGCTTGTCTAGCATGTATGAGGGTCTGGGTTTAATTCCCAGAACCAAAAATTTAAATTTAAAGACTCTGGCTTGGAGAAGTCTTGCCAGCCCTCTGCCCACAGACTCCACATCCRCAGGTTCAGCCAACAGTAGGTTTAAAAGATCTGAGAAAATCTGCATGTGTACTAAACGTGCGGATGTTTTTCTTGCCATTGTTCCCCAAACAGGAGAGTGTAACCTGTTTGTGTGGCATTTACATCGTATTGGGCATCATCGGTAACCTGTGCTGATGCCCGGTGTGCAGAGGGGTGAGTACAGGGACAGCAGAGGTTGCACCAGCGCTGCGAGGCAGGGCCTGCAGTGTCCCCTGCTGGGGTCCTGGTGTCCCCTGCTCAAGGCCCTGTCCTGCATGGGGGTCCTGGCTGCCTCAGGTGGAGCCAAGCCAGTGGCCAAATTTGAAGGGAATCCAAGCACAGAGAGGTGTCTCCCCCATCCTGCTCCCTGGGGCACTTGTTTCCCTGAGTTCTGAACGAGTATCCTCATCAGCAAATTTTATGTATCTTTATTATTGAGAAATGAAAAATTAGCATTCTGGGATTATTGACCATTTTGCAAAGTTATTCTAAAAATAATGAATTTTAAATTTTTTATACTAGTCATGATTCTGTTGACACTGTCATTACAACCCATTTAAGTAACAGTTTTTAGCAACACTTATTTAAACTCAGTCCAAGGATAAAGTCACCATTGTATTTTGTTTCAGATTATGTACAAAATCATTGAAATGTCTGCTGTAAAAACCGGGGTCTTCAATACACTGATGAGTCACTGCTGCCAGTCATGGCTGGTGTCTGCTGCCAGCGGGCCCCAGGGGTCTCTGTCCAGCGCCAGGCACTACAGCGAACTCATCCTGGAGGCGTGTACATTTGGAACTGTGTTCAGGCGTGATCAGAGGTAAAGAGCTATCATTGTAGCTGGTCCTGACATCCCGTTACCTGTGTGGGTACAAGTCTTTGCTCTGAGGCTTTAGAAGACTGTAGAGCATTAGCTTCTTTCACTTTTGGACTTTGGGGTTTTTTAAATTTATTTTTTAATTTAAACTCGATCTTTCTCCCTTTTCTTATGGAAAGACTCATTCAGGATGTACAGACCTTCATAGAGARTCTCGGACATGACTGTGCAGCCAATGTTGTCATGGAGAGGTAAGTATGGCAGGTCCCTGTGTGTTAGCGAACGTGGGGTCACCAGATTTCTTACCAGATGGCAGATGTGCTATGTTTGTCGAGTTGATAAATGATATCTGCTCTGTGACAAGCTGTGGAGCAAGGCCTCAATGGCACATCAGAAACTGCATCTGGGTAGAGCACTTGCTTGGCATGGGTGAGGTCCTCGGTTCTAGCCCCAGAACCACAAAGAAAAAAGAGAGAAGGAAAAATCATCTTTCTTGCTAATGTATTTACTTCACAGCTTTAACATTTTCTAAAATTTAATAAGCTTTTTAAAATGGAGCACAAATTCTAGTATCAGTGAGCAAGTGGTGTTGGGGAATTTAAAAGCCCGGCCCCTCCTCTGGGTGCCTGGACAGCCGTCAGTCTAAATCCTTTATTCCTCACATCTTTATTTTTGTRGATGTATCAATTATTCAAGTTCACCATTTTGACAAGTCAAAATGTTGTATGCAAAAACAGAAGCACCCACAGAGCAGCCTGGGTGCTGGGACCATGCCTGCTAATAACAAGCAGAGGTATAATTGACGGGTTGGAGACAAGTGTCCCCAGCTATGCTGGGTATGTGTGAGTCTGGGCTGCAGGGTTTTGATCTCTGATGAGATTCTCATCTAACCTTTTAACTGACTTTTTGGAGACCATAAAACGTTTTTTCCAAGTTTCATGTGTTCCCACTGCTTTCTAATAATTACGTGTTTACAAAGGAGATCTTTTGCTTGGATCTTGAGCTTCAGACACCCAGCAGTGGCTGTGTAGTTGTCTGGAGCAGACGTTGCTCTGAGCGCTGCGGTGCTGCGTCGTTCGCCACTCTTGCTCAAGTGTCTGGTTCTTTTCACTTTTGTTCAGCGCAGTGATAGGTGGGGCTTTGGGCGGGTTCTTGCCAGTCCCGTGGATTTCTGCTCCACAGCTGCTTTGCTGTTAAAATGGCGTCTACTCATGTTATATCTTAAAATGCAATGTGGAAATACCACTAACAACTTCACTTAGTTTCTTTCTGTGTTTGGAGACTGAATGTATGAGTCATGTAGGACATTTCTCCACCCTGTAGGAGATGCACATGCCTTTGTGCCCATGGTGACCCAGGACTCTGTTGCTCTAGAGTGGAGCTTCCTGGATCTCTTGCATGTCCCCAGCAAGTTTGTCTGTCTACAGAGGAGATGTGACTGGCCAGCTGGACGGGCAGTGCTAGGTCATACCTGGTGTGCACACTCCCCCTGGCGTGTTCCTTGTTACCTTTTGCTGTTCTTGAATTAGAAGCATTGTCATTAAGCATGTGCCACTTGATCTTAGACGACTTAGGGGAGGATTTGATATTTGTCATGGCATTTTGAAACTAACAGTTAATGTAGTTTTCTGTTATCAAAACATAGTAACATAGTTCACCCTTCCATGTTTTTAGTACTAAAAGGGAAGACTGTTATGTGAGGGTCTGTGCCATCAAATTCCTGTGTCTGTTAGACTGCTCGAACACGGCCCACAAGTCATTCATGGAGGATCTTGCAATCAAGCTTTTGGACAAAGTAAATATGCTTTATTTCTCTTTGTTTTTAACAAGTGAAAAGTCCAGCATTACTCAGTGTTTCTGGATATTTTGTACCAGGAGAAAGCATGAGGTTGGCATTCTGTGTTCTTAGCTGAGTGTTGGCTGTCACTGTCTCACTTCGGGTTGGTTCCTTGAGCCTGCTGATGGCCACTGTGTTTACAGTGCTGTATGCACACAGTGTTCTGTGGAGCAAGTGGCCTGGACAGATGCATGCTGGGAGGCAGCAGGTGTGCTCTCAGGTGGAACAAGAAGTATACTGTGACCCATGGTCAGTTGTGCAGATGGGCTCCAGGAAGGCTCCTGCAAGGGACATCGGGCTGAGCTCTACATGAACACCCGCCAGGTGGGAGGGCGTGAGGACAGGGTGCAAAGCCGTGTGCAGGAAGGGCCTTTGGAGTCCGCTGTTGGTGGCCAGCACGACAAAGGGCATGCAGCAAAGTGACAGGAATGGGGATGCAGGGAGAATGGCGGAGGGGAAGTGGAGTGAGCCGAGGCCACGTAGATGCTTTAGGAGTCTGCTCTCATTCTGTGTCTTTCTTATGTTCCTAACTGCTTTTGGAGGGACAATGACCTGTGTCCCCAGAACCTCTTCGGTTTGAAGTTTTCTGGTCTGTTCTCGGTAGTGTCGAGCTTCTCCTTGGCCTAACACTGCCTTCCCTGCCCCCAGGACGAGCAGGTGTCCCAGTCCAGAGTCCGCTACTACCAGAACTCTCTCCAGCACCGGGTGAAGAACCGGATATGGCAGGTGCTACTCACGCTCTTCCCCAGGTTTGACCAGGTACTGCCGGCTTCACACTGTCGCTCACATGAGCGTCTCTCAGAGCGACCCAGGAAACCTGAGCAGGCCCATCTGCTTAGACGTCCACTTCCTACATGGACTGGCAGTTCCCCAGAGGCTCCAGCAGAGGCGCCCGTGAGCGGGTTTTTAGGGACCAGCCATCAGTGGTTTGCATGACCTCATTGCAGGTTTTCCCTTCACCTTTCAAAGTAGCATTTTAACTGCTAACATCTCCTCTACCATTGGTTCCTTTCACAGCTCAGCATTGCTGGGGCATTTGAAGCCAGGCTCATGGCAGCAGTGGTGGGGTTATTGTTTCCTGTGGGGTCTTTTCCCCTCAATCTCAGGGATAGTGGGGACACATTAAACCAGCTAAGTGGAGKCCAGGGTCTCCACCACAGTCTGTGTCCCCAGGTTGCTGCCCACTTCTCTTGAGAAGCAGCCAGCTCTCGAGTGGACTGTAATCCGTTTTTCTTTCTTTGCTTAATGTTCTTGTTAAGGGGATGCTTGTTAGTATGAGAAAGTGGAGGTGACCTGTGGCCATTAAAACAAAACAAAACAATACATTTTGAATGCAAAACGATTCCCTTAGACTTTAAGGTTGGTTTCCTGATCTTCCCCATCCTCTCTTCATTGTTTGGGGGAAAAAAGTATGTATGTGGATCTATCTCAGTCTCTTTTTATTAGATTTTTTTTTTTTTTTTTTTTTTTTTTTTGAGCACTGAGAATTGAACTCCTGGGCCCTTTGCCACTGAGCCACATCCCCAGCCTTTTTTACTTATTTTTTACCTAATCACTTTTTACATTGTTTTTAGATATACATGACGTAGAGCGTACTTTGACATATTATACATATGTGGAGCATAACTTAAGCCCTTTCTATTTTTTATTTTGAGACAGGGCCTTACAGAGGTCCTGAGGCTGGCCTTGAATCTGCAGTCCTCCTGCCTCAGCCTCCCAGTCCCTGAGATTATAGGCATGATCCCTGAGCCTTTTTATTACAATTTTATGAACCCTTGCCTTCTGTCTATGAGAATGTTTCAGTGACAGTATGTTGAGTTTATTGGATGAACTTTTGAGGACCTAGCTAGCAATGACCTCTGGGGTGGCACAGGTGGAAGTGGGCAGGAGCTGCTGACCTCATCATAGGCCTTTTAGTAGCACTTGTCTTTCAAAGTACCATGTGCCCCACTTCCTGCAGCACAGAAGTGCATCTAAAGGAGCGTTACAGCTTTATAGCTAACTGGATGTTTCTTCTTGGAATGACGAGGGGCCCCCCAAAAGATGGCAGTGGGGGAATTCAGTAGGTGGGGCCCGAGGAAGAGAGGGCCGGTGTGTCCTGAGCAGCCATTGCTGGGAGTTCAAGGTCCTATCTGTGGTTTCATTACCTGTCACAACAGACTTTCAGGGCAGGCCATAAGGATGTCTGTCTTACAGGTGAGGATGCTCAGAGGTCAGGCGGCCTGCCCCAGGGACATAGCCAGTTAGCAGGAGGAGCCAGATCCAGGCGAGTCCCATTCCTGGGTCCATGTCTGATGMTGTGGCAGACTCAGGGCTTAACATGACTCTCCTACTCCTCTTCCAAGTAGAAGTCATATTAAAATAAGATGTTCTTCCGTAAGGAGATGTAAAACTTGTTATATTTAACATGCTTATATAGACAGAGAATTGTTTCCCCACCGGCCCCTTAGTGTACCGTGACTCAGACAGAAGAGCAGTCTTGGAGAGAGAGGCTGGAGAGTGTGGGAGGGTCTGGAGCTCAGGGACTTAGCCCAAAGCAGCAGTGGTAAGAGGCCACCCCTGAGCTTCCCTGGCCTTCCCTGGCCTACCAGGCCTGCCCTGTAATCGCTTCTTTCCCCTGCCCTGGAACCTACAGACAGAGGAGCCTGCCCCATAGAACTAATGTAGCCTGCAGGGCACAGGCACTGCAGTGACACTCTGTAGGGTTTTTGGAGAAGTAGAGAGTCCGTGAGTCACTTATGAATAACTAAGCCTTCTGTAAAGTGGGGACTTTGCTAAAATTTGCTAAAAAGTTAATAACATAGCCATTGAATTTGTGAACTTTATTTTTTCCTCAGAATTTCTTGAATGAGATTATTGACAAGATTTTCCAAGCTGGTTTTATCAACAATCAAGCATCTATAAAATATTTTATAGAATGGATCATTATATTGATTCTTCATAAGTTCCCTCAGTTTCTTCCAAAGTTCTGGGATTGTTTTTCTTATGTAAGTAAATGTTTAATGTGTTAAATTTGGAAATGGTCTCAGCTGCTGTCTTTGTTGGTCTGACCCAGGGTGGCCCTGCCATGTTGGCGTGGTAAACTACTGGCCGACTCTGAGTTAGTTGAGGAGACAGCAGTCCCTGGAGTCCACCCTGATTGTGCCACAGTTTCTGTTTGAATGCCAGTCTAATTCCAAAATGGCAAGAGTGGAAATGCTTGTTGCTAAGGAGTGAGGACACGGTGCCGTGCAGTTGCTAGGCACCAGGCCATCTTTGTGTGCTGTTGGAGTAAAGCATGATGAGGAATGAAGTGCGTGCCTCCATAGGGACATTTTGCCTGTGACATAGTAGGAAAGCAGGAGCCCGCTTGTGTCTCTCCTGCCCCCCTCCCTCGCTGCTCAGTGCTGCTTCTTTCTTGAAGCCACTCTTGGGAACCATGTTGGGGTGAGTGGTGGAGGCTCAGTGCTGGCCTCCTGGCCTCCTAACCTCCTAGCCTCCAGCCTCTCTTGTGTCCTCCCTTGTGTATACCTGGGTTTTCTGCTGTGGGGACTCTCCATAGCCTCCCAGTGTAGGCAGCAGTGTTCTGGTGTTTCTGGGCCGTGTTGACTGGGTTGGTGCTAGGGCCCTGTGTGCCTGCAAGGACTTCCAGATGGCCTTTCTGCTCACATTTGTCACCCCAGCTTCAGAGAATAGCAGGGCCAGCCTTGGTGGCTGCAGAGCCTCCCTCTGTGTCCCTCCTGGGGTAGCCTGACCTTGAGGATGCCTGCTGACAGGCAGTGTTCCATCAGTGTCTGTCCCCTGTGCTTGTAGTATGGAGTCACGTGAGTGTCCTCCATGGGGAGGGGCCTGCAGAGGCGGCAGAATGGAGGCTGGGTCCCCTGGGCCACCAAGGAGCTGTACACCACTCAGGCCTCTAATGGTCCTGGGCCAGTCCTGCATGCAGGCCACTGTGCCTCCCTCCACTCCTCTTCTAGACAACGCCCTCCCCTTCGATCTCGGGGAGTATGGCTTCTAAAGAAAGGGGCCTCCCCAGTACTCGGTCTCCTTGGTGTAGGTCTTTGTGGCATGTAAGCACCACATCTTGGCACTAGAACTTGGACTGTTCCACCAGAACAGAAACTTTGTCTGTGACACTTTCCTGAGTTTTCAAACTACCCGTCACTTCCTTAGATGGAGGAGTTGGTCCTCTGACGCTCCACAGGGAAGGTTCCAGCCTGGTCCTCCTGCCCAAGGTCACTTTTCTCTCTAGTCTATCTGGCATCCCTCAGTCCAGCATCACTGATGGCATCTGAGCCCACGTCACCGTTGTTGGGAGGTCCCTACTGGCCACTGTGCCCTCTGTGGCCTTTCTCCACAGCTCAAGTCTCCCATGGTGCCGTGTTGACTGTATTGGTGCTAGGGCCCTGCCCCGCCCCGCCCCGCCCCTGGCAACCTCTGCCTTGCCTCAGCCGCCAAGTCTCTGTCTCTCTTATTCCTTTCCCTTGGTCTTCTCCTTCCTGCTCCCAAGTCCCCTCCTCTTGAGGCTGCCCTTCCTACCCTGCAGGCCAGGCCTTCGCAGGGCAGGTCCTGGGCTCGCCCCACCTCAGGGTTGTGCAGTACAGGCTTTGTGCCTGCCTTCCAAGGGCCATGTGCACCTACCCTGGCTCCAGGGAGCCCTGTCCTGTCTGGCTTTCTATTCTGTCCCTGCGTAGGCCATGCTGTCCTCCCCTGCAGAGTCCCCCTTGGGCTGGCGAGTCCTGGCTCACAGGACGCTTGTGGTCATTTATCTAATTCTCTTTCAGGGTGAAGAAAAACTTAAAACAAGTATTTGTACATTTTTATCTGTTTTGTCACATTTGGACATTATCATTCAAAATATTCCAGAAAAGGTAAGTTCATATAATTTGTAAGAAGATTTTAAACTTGAGTTTCAAAACAGGTGCTGTGTGTATTTGTACCAGTGTTGAAGTGTAAAGTGTTTCTTGCCGTTTTGCATTTGTCCCTGTCCCTCCACTGGCTCGGTGGGCATGTACACAGCACCACAGTGAGACCTTAGCACTGACCTGCACACTGAGTAGACACCACATCTGTAGTCACATTAGTGGTGATTCTGTTGATGTGGATGGTTTTTGCTTTTATGAGGGTTTTTTGTATATCTGGATACCAGGGATTGAACTCTGGGATACTCCACCACTGAGCCCCATCCCTAGCCCTACTTTGTGTTTTATTTAGAGATAGGGTCTCACTGAGCTAATTAATGCCTCACTGTTGCTGAGGCTGGCTTTGAACTCGCCATCCTTCCTAGCTTCTGGAAGAATAGGAGTATGCCCAAGCCTGGCAGCGTGAGGGTTCTTTAACGGGCTGCCTTCCTTGAATGGGGTGTTTGACAAGGGCTTCTGCAGAGGAACTCCTTGTGGGGGTGGGGGTGGCCGGGGAGGACCCTTCCCAGAAGAAGATTAAGAACAAGGCCCCAAAGAGGACAGTGAGCCAATGGCCAGGACCCAGGGAGCAGAAGGTGTGGGTCCTGAGGTCAGGGAGGCCCTGCATGGGTGTGTTGCTCTGGGATGTCTGCCTCGCCTGAGCCACTTCTGTGAGGGTGGGTGACCCCCGTTGAGCTGTGCACCCAGCAGTGCTGTCTGTGTACCTCATAGGGGGCTCGCAGTGCTGCCCAAGTTAGGTGTCGCTGTGTGTGCCGGGTGCCCCTGAGCAGGATAGGCATGGTAGCTGGCACTCTGCGCTCCCTTTTTGCCTTCCCAATTGCCAAGTGGCATCCTGTGTGGGGTTCACTTGCTGGCTTTCTCCCTCTGAAGTGAGTGGCCTGGTCCTGCAGCCTGTGCCGGCTTCTCGGCTCCCACATGCTCCCGGCCTGAGCTGTTCTTCCTTTTGGCCTGGGGACCTAATCTCTGCATGTCACTGTTACTCTGTTTTCTGAGCACTGAGTTCCTCAGTGTCCTCAGTGTCCTCCCACCTCCTCCTGAGTTTTGCCCTGCCCCTGCTGTGGTGACATAGCACTCATCACAGTGCTGCTCACGGGAGGTGGGGGGAGACCCCTGTGCAGGTGGTGTGACCATGCATGTGTCTCTGAAGTGCAGTGCTGGCGACACTTGAGAAAGCCTCAGCCCTGCTCGGGAGCCATGGGCCAGGGCGTGGTCCTGGGCTGACCACGCACCTGGTGGCTCTGGCTGTGCCTCAGTAGTAGAAGCTCCCAAGAATCTCAGCTGGGGGCACCTGGCGAGTGTGTCTAGGTGGCTTGGGGAGCGTGTGGTGGGAGCATCCAGGCAGCTTCTGGTGTGTCAAAAGTTGGGGTCTGCTTCCACATTAAGGTACATTGGTCCCCGTGGCTGTCAGCATTGACTAGTGGAACCAGGTGATTCAGAATTCAGGGTGGTGTTGTGCTCTGTTCCCAGGCCATGAGGTTAGAGTTCACAGGGAGAGACCACAGGGCACTTGACACTATTTCGTTGTTCTCTCCTCTTCTTAACTTTACGGACATGCCTGCCACGTGGTTTAAGGTCACCTTCAGGGAACACACAGCTCAGAAGCCAGAGCAGGGAGAGCGGCACTGTGGGGTCTCACTTAGGGGCACATCAGAGTCACCAAGTTGGCTCCTACAGGAGCTGCTATGTCCTCAGTCCAGCTTAGCTACAGCACTGTAGCTCTGTCAGGTTGGCATAGGAACTCTGGGGTAGGGGACATGCCGCAGCTATGACAACAGGCAGCCCAAAGCGCCTGCTTTCCTGGGTAGGCTTGATGCGTGAGCAGATGTACCCAGGAGGGCACTGAGCAGACACTTTGGGGGCGTGGGGACGATTTCCCCATGTGTCCACCTTCCCCTCAGTTGGGGTCGAGCTGCCCACCTGTGCACCTCTCACGGAGTCTCCCTTTCTTTCCAGAAGCGAGTACTAAAGCAGGCCCTCCTCATTGCACTGCAATGGGGTCTCAGCCACAACTTCAGCATCCGGCTGTATGCTCTGATAGCTCTGAAGAAGGTCTGGGCAGTGTGCAAAGCCCTCTGCGTGGAGGAGTGTGATGCGTGGACAGCTCTCATAGAGTGTAGTCTCAGCCAGGTGGAGAGCATGCATGGTGCAGGGTAAGGATGGCCACTCGCTGCTCTACCAGAGCCAGGGGAGGCGGAAGAGGCCCGGCCTGGCGGGCACCCGCTCCTTGGATTACATTCAGCCACAGGCCCAGGAGCCGGGCCAGGTGGAGCTGCAGCAGGACCTTGGTTTGCCTACCATTAGGGCCTCTTGTTCCCTGTGCGCAGACTCTGCCCTCTGCCCTCTGCCCCCTGCCCCGCCAGTTCCACCCATTCTGGCTCCTCTGAGATCTCCTCCACACCAAGCACTCACCCAGGAGCCAGGACAACAGGCAGGGCGCTGGGGTTGGGGCCTGTAGCTTAGCAAGCCCCAAGTGGTTGGACACGCACCGTGCTCTGGTCCCACTCCCACCCTGGACACTGCCTAGCCTGCACCTCGTGTCCTTGTCCTTGAGTCTTCCTCTCTGTAATGCTGGGAAATCAGTGTTTCTTCCAACAGCACCTAACATTCCATCACATGGCAGTGCCATGACGTATCCCCGAATCCCCTCTGAAGGAAACTGTAGTGAGGTTCTGTTTTAATGCTGGACCTGATTTGAATAGTTAGCTGGCGGGCCAGTGCAGAGCAGAGGGAAGGAGGCAATGTCAATTTCCCTGGCACCGCTGGAGAGCCTTGGAAGGAGGCAGTGGGAGGAGGTGCTCCCTCCTCCTGGTCTGCCTCTGGCTGCAGTGCTGGGAGCGGAGGAGGCGCCTGGCCAGGCGGATGAGGCCTGCCAGCAAGAGGTCCCAGAATTGCTGTGGGTTTTGGTGCTGATGATCCYGACTTTAAACTGAGTCTCTCTGTGTTGTTCTTTTTACCTCTGCTTTTGCCTTTTAAAACCTGACCGATGGGCTGCGATGTAAGCCCTGCTCATTTTCTGTGTGTCTAGTGTGACAAAAGCGGTGCAGGTGGATAGTGGGTGGGGCTGAGGAGTAGAAACGACTGTGGAATGGCTGCTTCTCCTGGAGAAAAGGGTCCCCCCAGAGGGCTCCCGTCCTCAGGCAGTGGCAGAGGTCCTTTTCCCACCTTGCTTGAGACCACCCAAGGCTTCTCACCCCCTTCCTGCTCTGCTAGATGGTGGCTGCACCTAAGGCTCAGGGGCCTACTTCTCAGAACAGAAGTTGAACCCCCAGTTCTCAGGTTACTGAAGGTCACTTAATTGCTCTGTTTGTCTTTGAGCTCCATTTTAAAATGTGAGATTTTATGGCCTGGCCTGTGCTCAGTGTTGAGGGCTCGCCTAGCATGCAAAAGGCCCTAGGTCTATCCCCAACAAGGCCAAAGGAGGGGGGCGTTGTGAAGTAGGTTGGTCCCAGAGATGCCAGCTGCAGTATAAACCTGGATGACAGTGACAGTCCTCGCCTGCCCACGGTGCGACCCTGCAGAGTCGTCTGGTCCCTTACTGCGCCTCATGCCTTGCTCCCTGCCCTAGGAATGCCAAGAAGAACTGGCAGCGCATCCAGGACCACTTCTTCTTTGCCACGTTTCACCCCCTGGAGGATTACTGTCTGGAGGTGAGCAGAGAAAGCCGCCTGTAGGGGCCTACTGTGACTTCAGCCTGATGCCACCTGTGGAGACTTTGGAGACTAGGCCAGTTGTCCTCCCAGTCACCTCAGCCTCCTGACTCCTGAGTAGGATTCTGTCACCTTAGGCAGCAGGCTTGCTTGCAGACCCCCTCAGCAGTGGGATGTGCCTGTCTGGCTTGTAAGTCCTGGAAGGGAAACTCTAACTCTAAACAGAAATCAGAGCAGATTCCTAAAAGGCAGTGAGTAAGAGCAGGTGCAGGTGAGATTTTATTGAATGGAAGCCCCCTGGTAATAAAGGAAAATATCTGTTCTTTCATTCATGGCATATTTTAGGTCTGGGTAATTAAAATTGTAGAGCAAATGATGTACCCCCTCACTGGTTGTAACAGAAAGTGCTTATATAATTTTAAGACCCACGATCCCGTTTCTTACAGTTAATATAATTAATTCACTGTGTAATTCACTAACTTTGAACAAAGCATAGCACCTTCTCCCTCCTGCAGCTCTAGTTATAATGTGCTGTGTGGAGTTCCAGTCCTTGGACTTAGGACTACTCCTTGGGAGGTCTGGTCGGCGTCAGTAGCTTCAGCCAGTGTGCACGCCAGTGATCCTTGGATTGCCCATGGACTGGCCTCTAAACACAGAGCTGCATATTGAGAGCCACACACTGGAGAATATTCCTGAGTATCCTCTGGGGCTTCACTCCCAGTACTGTCAGGGCTGTTCCTGTGTCTCACACCCCTCTGCTCTGCATCCCTTGGTGCCTGAGGGGCTGCCTGAGGTCTCCTGAAGGACCCTTTGGCCTCCCTGGCCTTGTCAGCCTCCTCTGGTCAGGTTCCCAGCAGGACTGCTGCATCTGTGGTATCCCTCCGACCCTTGGCCCCTGCCTCCTGCTGCCACACAGGTCATGACTGTATGTGACCTGATGAATGGTCTAGTCTGTGTGGAGGGGGCCTCGGTACTGACCTGGTACACACTTGGTTGTGGTCTGGATGCCAGTTAAGTCTGCACAGCTGTGGTGGCAACAGAAAACCATGCGCATGCTAAAAGCTTTCCTGAGGACAGGAGCGCTGTCCCAAGGCAGTGTTTTACTTGAGCTGCACAGCATCTGGGCCTCGCCCCCTTGACACCTCCCTGTGGTGAGCACCCCTGTGCTGGGTTTTCTTTCAAAAGGTCAGTGGCTGCAGGGGGGCTGCTCAGGTGTGACTGTGCCCAGCAGTCCCTGTGCAGGTCCTGAGCCCTTTCACTTGCTGCTGGAATCTGACTGTGTCCTCACTTTATGGGGACCTAGAGACAGAAGGCTCTGACTTGCTTAATGCCACACAGCTGAGGAACGTGGGAGGCCAGAATCCAGGTTCTGAGTATCGCTTGGTAATGAGAGCTCTGACCACATCAGATGGCTTGGGAGAGCACATCAGTAACGACAGAGTACTGCTGCTGACATGTCATGTTTCTTTGTTATTTTTACAATTCTGTTTCCAGACCATCTTTTACACCCTCCCACGGCTCTCAGGCGTCATTGAAGAGGAGTGGATCACCCTTGACAGATTTTACAGCTTCACAGATGTCCCTTCAGGTTCAGGGCCCCTGTGGTGCCTTTCTCGGACTCCGCTCTGTGAGCTAAATCCCGGGGACTGGTCCCAGCAGGACGCAGGTAGAGAGCTGCTTCTCCTTATTTCCCTGTTTGTGCATGAATTCACTGGTTTTGTCACGTAGAGCAGGGGTGGGTGGCGCCTCTTGTCTGCCCACCTTGGTCCAGCAGTGGAAGTGTGGGAGTGTGGTGTGGCCTTGACCTAGTCTTCCAGGGGAGAGGCAACTTGGCTGCAGCAAGACAGCAGCTTCCCTGTTCTCTTGAATAGGTGGTTGGTTAATATTCACTGCTCTGTATCTGTAAAAATCAGGTTTCCAGAAGGACCACAATATGGATCTCCTCTGTCCCTTCCAGGAGTAGAGCATCTGTGTTGTGGTCTTCCTCATCTCTGAGGTCTCTGGCCTGGTCATCGTGCTCAGTGCTCTCCCCGTGCGCTTCACCAATGGCCACTTCTGAAAGCTCCCCTCTGAGCTACCTGCTTGCAGTCCTCCGTCTCTCGGCCTGAGCTGACTGGACCTCTGCAGCCCGCTGTTCCTCAAGCTCTTTAAACTCAGCACATCCAGACTGGACTCCACTTTCTGTCCACCTCGCCTCCTCTCTGTGCCCTCTGTTAATGGTCACTCTGTCATTCTTTTCCTGGTCTCCTCTTGCCACATCCACCCACCACCCAGCCTTGGTGGTGGAGCTTCAGCCAGCTGGCTGCTTCTCCTGCCCTCCAACCCCCTGTGGTGAGGACTTTCTGATTTCACTGTCTCCACCATGGCCAGTGCACGAGCCTTGTGTCCGTTCTCAGCCCAGTGCTTCCCAACATCACTGCCATTATCCCCCATCTTCAAATGCCCCAGGGGCTCCTCTGTATAGAATAAATCCCTCACCTCAGACAGGTAGAGCCTGTGGTCTGGTGCAGGCTGAGCTAAGCCATAGCACTTACTGATGCCCAGGTCACTTTCCTTCCACATCTGCACATGCACAGCTCTGTCTCCCCTGGAAGCTGTGACCTCCCTTCTTGGGCCCTTCGGTCTGACTCCTGCCACGGACGCTACTCATCCCTCCTGTGTGAGCATGCCCTTGGGATTGTCGTGGTTTCCTGCACGTCTGCCCCATCCCCAGCAAACGACTGTTCATTGGCTGGTGGTCCATTTGGGGGGACAAAGGAAGAGCTCTAGCATGGACTCAGTCCTGTCTCGAGCAGACCCTGAAGTTAGATAGGTTAATGACATCTGGTTCCCAGCAGTTGAGTCAAGAGGTGATTCTTTTATGGCACAGCCTTCATTTTAGAAAGTTACCCCAGGTACTTCTAGTGAAATTTAAGAAAAAAAAATTTCATTTATATTCTTTTTAGGAATATATTTCCATAAAAATTCCAATTCGATATTATGTTGTTGTTTGTAAAATATGCCATTATTTACCTTTAAGAAAAAAATATTAAACAACTATGATTCTAAATTGCTTCCCAATTTTGTATATGCGAAAATGTGAACCATAGTATATCTTCTGTTTTTATGAAATGTCATAATATATTGATTAGTAGAGCTGAATTTGAAATCCAAGAATTACTACTGAAAATGGTGACATATTTGGATCCAAGCAGCTTCTCAGTCAGTCAGTGAACAGGTCGGTCTCAGTGGGTGCTCCTTGACCCACACAGACACTGGGCCTGACTCGTGGACCCTGGTGTCCTCTCTCTTCCCAGGCACTGGCTCAAGGGAAGCAGATGGCCCTTCTGAGCAGGCTGATGTGCAGAAGAAGATCATCCCGTGGGGACACGACCTCCTCGACACAGACCTCGAGCTTGTGCTCCAGGACCGTGCTGCCAAACTTGGAAAGTCCATCAGCAGACTGATTGTAGTGGCCTCACTAATTGATAAACCAACTAATTTAGGAGGTAAACATGGTTTTCCAGGTAGTTTGCTTGAAATCTCTGGACCTGGACTCTGGTCCCCTGCCCGTTTTGGTTGTGTCCTCTACATTTAGCCCTCTGAGAGTTTTTGGGGAAGCAGTGGGATCTGATGAGTGTGGTGTGATGCTGGGGGCCGTCTGGATGACACAGGTGTTCTGTACAGGCCTGTGCCGGACCTGTGAGGTGTTCGGGGCCTCAGTGCTGGTGGTCAGCAACCTTCATTGTGTCCGTGACAAGCAGTTTCAGCACCTCAGTGTCTCAGCTGAACAGTGGCTTCCTCTGGTGGAGGTGGGTGGAAAGTAATCTGTTATTGAACTTTTACTGGGGAAGTGTGCAGTGTTTTGTCTTTATGTGTTAGGCAGGCCTTCTGCAGGAATTTGTAGGAATTCAGCCTTTCATAGATTAAAAACAATACTTAAAAGAATACTCCGTTCTCCATATTTCAGTTTTATTTTTAGAAATCATCAATAATGTGATATTATTTTCAGTAAAATGTGTCCTGATACAGCTCACTCTTGATTTAGAAATGGTTCTTATAAAGTTGTGAGTTGGGAGGGTTTTCTTAAAAAATATATATAGTTGTGATTTTTTTTTTTCTTTAAAAATACCTTTAACTAATTTAAGAGGTTTTTTTGTTAACTTTCATTTTACTCCACACAGGGCTGTAACTGATTTATTTTCTGCTCTTTACAAACTGACATTCAGGTGAAGCCGCATCAGCTCCCTGGTTATCTGCAACAGAAAAGGGCAGCAGGTTACACGGTCATTGGCGTGGAGCAGACTGCCCACAGCTCAGACTTGGCCCAGTTCTGCTTCCCTGAGAAGTCGCTGCTCCTGTTGGGGTGAGTGGCCTCCCTGCGCCCTTGGAATGTGTTTCTCATTTGGCAGTTTTCCTGGCCCTTCAGCTGTGCCTTTGCCCTGGAATATTGATGGAAACCCCCTAGTTTTCCTTTTATTTCACCTGTCCAGGAGGGTCAGGAGGACACAGAATTGACCTGTAGATCTCTGTTAGTCTTATTTATTTCCTGAAACCACACTTCCTTCATCTGTCTGTCTGATGTGGTAACAGAATAACCAGGAAAAAATTGTTACTGTCAGAAAACTCAGATCTTTTGCATTTTCCTCCCTCAGCAATGAACGGGAAGGCATTCCTGCCAACCTTCTACAACAGCTGGACGTGTGTGTGGAGATTCCCCAGCAGGGCGTCATCCGCTCACTGAACGTGCATGTGAGCGGGGCCCTGCTGATCTGGGAGTACACCAGGCAGCAGCTGCTCAGGCATACAGGAGCCTCATCGTGAAGCCTGTGCCTTACCTCAGTGGTCACGGTGCCTCTTGACTGCTTTTTAAACTATTTGGAATAATGAAAGAGATTCTGACATTTATTGGGATATGAATTTTTTTTGTTCTTGCAATTTAATGCCAAAAACTTGTTAATGTGCCTTAAATATATCATTATATATTTTCTCCTTTGATAAATCTTTATATAGATACATGATTTTGCTTATTAATAAAACATTTTACATAATTATGAAAATAAAACAACATTTTTTTTAAAAAGTCCTTCTAGAAGTTAGTATCATCAGGAATACAAAATGCACTCAAAGTGAGGCAGAATTGAATAGCCCTCACCTCCAAGCACCGGAACCCTGAGGTCATGGGGACGAAGCAGGAAACCAAGGCAAAGGCACTGGAGGAAGGTGGTCTGGCCTCCTGTGGTACTCTGCCTTCCCTACTTTGTTTGGCAAGATGTTAAGCCAGCTTCCCTGTAAAGTTCACAAACCATGAAGTAGGCCATAGTCATTCATATTAAGTTCTTAGGAAATTTCTCAAATGCATCTTTGTTCAGAGAGATGAAGTAATGGTTAGAAATAGTCTGTATTGAGAAAACTACAAATGAGAATGCAAAGAACTCGAATTACTCCTCCAAATTGCTGCTGAAGCTGAGAATGAAGTTCACGAGTATTTGCTGGTAGACTTCTTCTGTCTTTTTTTTAATTTGGTAATTTGACTTTCTTATTTAATAGTAACCATATATCACCATCCAGCAATGACCTTCAATTATATCTGGGTCTTTTAGTAACAAATTTCCTAGTTCATGCCCATATATTTACTTTTTCTTCTATAATTTTGAAACTAACTTTCATTTTGCAGAAGGACTGCAAAAATAGCACAGAAGTTTCCTTATACCTGCTTCACTGTGATGCCTAAGTGATCTTATAAAACACAGTGCATTCATCTGAATTAGGACATTGGTGTTGATCGAGGTGCTCTTCACCAAGTTGCAGACTTGAGTCCAGTTTCCTGTTTTCCACTACTGTCCTTTTCCTGTCCCTGGAGCTAATCCAGGTTTGGATACACATTACATTAAGTGTTATTTTGAAGAGTGCTGGTCCAGTGTTTTGTAAACGTCCCAGGATTTGGGTTTGTCTGGCATATCCTTGGAGGTTACAGGTTCCAAGAGCAGGTGAAGGGGCCTCTTCTGCCATGAGGTTAGATAGACATGGTGGCAGCGGGGTGGGCTCACACCTCCATMATTTCCATCTGGTGAAGACCTCTTCTGCTGCATTGTTCTCTAAATTTGCTCTCTCCCTCTCCATGCCTTTGTCAAAAGCAAGTCAGCCTGCCTCAAGGGTAGGGGAAGCAAGCTCCCCGTGGAGGGGGAGCACTGGAGTCTGTGGCTCTTGTCAAGACTGTGGCAGTCATTAAAGGACATCCTGGGGGCTGGGGATGTGGCTCAAGCGGTAGTGTACTTGCCTGGCATGCGCGGGGTGCTGGGTTCGATCCTCAGCACCACATTAAAAAAAATAAAATAAAGATGTTGTGTCCACCAAAAACTAAAAATAAATAAATATTTWAAAAAATTCTCTAATGTCGGAGTCCAGCTCCAACAGGGGGTCTCAGGAGACGAACGGATGGTGAGGAGTCAGTGAAAGGGGGGGTGGAGAAACAACACAGACACCAAAGTGAAGGTGCTGAATCCCAATCTTTACTTGTGAAGTTAATCATGTATACTTTTCATTTTGGCAGCCTCACAGTACTTTGTGGTTACAAAACAGGAATCATTATTCAAAGAAACAAAAGTATTACGTAGCTACAATTAGAATAGAAGAATGTATCTTGGCTTATGTATAAGCAAGCATTTTTCCTTTCAGTTCATGTTTCGCTTTGAGCTATTTCTGCTTAGTTAACTTTTAATAATAGTTAAAAATGTCCCAAACTATTGGCCTATACCTTGACTATTCTTTCTTGACTGGAACCGGTGCCACGGTTACGGCAAGCGGTTAACTTGAAAAAAGAGGCTCCTAATTTTAATCAAACAAGAGTTAAGAACACACACCATTGTGCACAGGAACAAGAACAAGTTGCCCAGTACTAAGCACTAATTTGTCTTCTTAACATTAATTCTTCTTCTCTAGATTTTAATTTCTCAAAAACTTCCTTGACAGGAATACAGGGAGTTTTTCATTAAACATTAACAGTTTACATTCCACAGCTAAATCATTGCATTTAGAGCAAACAGATTTATTCTTTAGAAGTAGTTGCATTAATTGGGAAAGTCATGATTTTTCCTGCATACTTAATGGTCATATGWGAAGTCGAAACTGTACTTATTAATGTCTCTTTGTTCTGTCCACCACTGATGTTTGTGTTCAGGATGGACACTGCCTGCAGCAGTTACTTCTGTGGCATGTACTGCTGGTGCTCTATTCACCTGTTGGAATTCCTTGTTAGAGAAGACTTCTTTTTTCTATCAGTGTGGACATCCTGTGTCCTCAGCAGGCTCCTGGGACCTTGTTCTTGCTGCTGCCTTACTCTTTGGCACTACATGATGCTCTAGGTCTGTTTCATCTCTCTCCTTGGTGGAGTGGGACATCTCTAAGAGCCCTGGCACAATTCACTGGAGAACAGTGTTAGAAACCCAGACCTGGGCATGAGTAAAGCTGCTTTAAGCAAACATCCCTATATAATTTGCAGTTCATTTGTGAAAGACCTAGGAGTGGGGCTGCTGGATTGTGGGTCACCATCACTCTTAATTGCTCTCCAGAGGGGCTTTCCTAGGTCCCACTCCCACTGCAGGGAATGAGTAACTGCTGCACCTTCCTGTTGGCATGAGGATTGTCAACTTCAAAGTCATTCTAAGAGGGGAGTGATGATGTATCATCGAAGTACTAATTTCCATTATTCTAATATTTAATAGAGCACTTTTCATGTTTACTTCCCATTGTATATTATCTTTCAGTATCTATTTGCATAATATGCCCACCAATTTTTTTTTTTTTTTGGCACCAGGGATTGAACCTAGGGGTGCTTAAGCATGGAGCCAGATGCTTTTGAGACAATCTTAACTGTTGAGGCTGGCTTTGAACTTGTGATCCTCCTGCCTCAGCCTCCTGAGCTGCTGGCATTACAAGTGTGCACCACCATGCCCAGATGATTTTTCATAAAAGGGGGTTTTGGTTTTATATTTTGTATATATAAGTCCTTCATGAACTATGCTATCTACAAATATTGTCTCTAGGTTGTATTATACCTTTTCGTTTTTTTCCCCCATTCTTTAGTGTTTCTCAATTATATCAGCTGTGAATAGAACCGGCTTTATTTCTTCCTTCCTGATCTGTCTTTCATTTCCTTTTTTGCCTCACTGAACTAACTAGGAATACAGTCATTCTCTCATCACCTAGTATAACATTAGCTGCAGGTTTTCTAATAGATGGCTCTTACATTTTACCTGTGTGTTCTGAGCTCAACCTTTTCCAACCTCAAGCTGTAATGCCTATATTCAAGTGCTGATTCCCAGGAACACAGAGTGACAGCTTCTATTTATAATATCCATTGTAAATATTTCCCCACTACTCATCATCTAGTCAAAAAAAAAAAAAAAAGATCAATGTGTTTTTATAATTGGTTTTAATAGTTTCTTAAATTTCTTACTAAATTAGAACTAGGTATATTTAAACCACTGTACTTCAAGTCTTCATAGTTGAAACATGGATCTTCTGTTATTTGTCCAATTTTGTCATGAAGTACTGTACACAGCGAACAAGTACTGATGTATGCCATGTCAAACTACTACTGTCACAGAATCAACACAGCATTTTTTAATGTCCAGAAAGAATAATTTCAACCTTTATGAAAAGTTCAGGAAGTTCCTAGGAATTTGTAGTTGATTCAGAAGGCTGGAACTGTCCCGCTTCAAATTTTTCCTTGAATTTTAAGTAGTCTCTTCTTTTATCAAAATATTTTATCTGTTGAGATGAAAAAGGCTTAACTTAGGGCAAGTTATGCAGCTTAATAAGCAAAAGCAGATTTAAGTGCAACAAATTATTCATTATAAATCCATACAGAAACAGCAAAGGGATTTGTATTCTGGAACCAGTCAGTGATCTGGGGAGTGAGCCCCTGAGAAGTGGGGTAACAGGTGAGTTGGACCTTCAGGGGCTCGAGACCCTGCTCTCTGGCTAGCCCASGAACCTTCTACAGGACTGTACAACCTGAGAGTCTTCCAGTAGTCTGAGTCCACAAAGCTCTGGCTTAGGCTAGGAGTCTTCAGATTTGAAATGCTGGGTGGTTCTAAGTTTAATGTTTATCACCCACAAATGACTCGTCCAGAAACAAACACTTGAGACAGACATAAGAAAATTACATTTATGAACTATGAGTAGTTAAATTGAGGGTAAAAGTTAAGTTTATTGATGATTTGGTTTTGTTTTCCTCTTCATAGTGAATTTGAAGAATATATATATATATATTTTTAAGTTATAGATGGACACAATACCTCTATTGTTTATTTTTACGTGGTGCTGAGGTTCAAACCCAGGGCCTCACATGTGCGAGGCAAGTGCTCTACCACTGAGCCACAACCCCAGCCCCTGAAGAATATTTTGACATGGCAAAATCCTAGAAGTAGAAAATGCAGGCCAAGGAAGCAAATGTGGCTGCCATAAAACTGCCACAGCGTAAACCTGAGCTGCTGCCAGGCAAGGCAGGGGCAGAGTACCACCCGTGTGCACCATGAGGCCGACCAGACAGCACTAGTTCTTTTGTTGAAAGCCTTTCTTAGGATCTAATTCTTAAATATTTTAGTGGAGTTTGAGAGCAAATATTAGAGTGGACTGAGAATGTGGAAATCTACCATGCCTGGTATCAAGCCACAGGATAGAACTGAGAAACAGCTGTCAAGCAAGTGTTTCTCCCAAGGAAGGGCTGCAGCCATCAACATCCAAAAGGACTTGAGTCTTAGGATTTGAGCGCTGCTTTCTTATTCACTGAGAAACCCTGTTCTCTAAAATCACAGGGGGTCACAAGTTTGCACTTTAACATTTTTTCAGTAAGAATGAAGAAGCATCCCACTTTTGCCCAGAAAAGCATCCCTGATCTGCACCCCAGGCACAAGCTTCAAATATGGGACTTCTGCAAATGATATTCAATCATTTGGGGAGGGGGATTGAACCTAGGGCCTCACACATGCTAAGGCAAGTGCTCTACCACTGAGCCACAATCCTAGCCCCTTGACATTCAGTCTTTACCAAGTCCCCTTCTCAGTCCAGAGATGATGAGGGTCTGTTCATACACAATCTCTGCTTTGCTCCAACACCATCAAAAGTGCTTCATTTAAAACTTACCCAAGTTTGATCTTTCCCCTAAACTCTTCAGTAACTCTTTCCCTGTTTGGTGAGATGCATCTGTCCTTTGGTGTGTGTCTCCCTGGCTACAACATGTCCATATGCTGCGGCACTACAGACTTATCCCTGGTAGTCTAGGGTGGCTGTTACAGAAAGGATACCAAATGAAGGTGATCATGTCCTTCATGTTTTAGTGGCAAATTAAGAGCATGGAGTCTCAGATCCTATCTTCAACCACACAACATACAATTCCACTTAGAGGTCCTACTGTCCTGTCAGCCCCAAGAGGCCAGAACTTAGCCCCTCTCCAACTGAGCTTCTCTCAAAGCTATACATTTATCACTGTCCCTGTACAGAGCAGGTCCTCATCATTCTTCACCTGTATTGCTGGGACATCTAAGACATGAGGCAGATTCTGGGATCAGGAGACTGACCGGCAAGTTCCCTGTCTGCTCAACTGCTAGGCTAATCTGAGACTTATTTCCTATTGTGTTACTCTAGACACAACATGGCTTCCCCCAAAATAGAAGGAAAATTACAGTGGAAGGGAAGAAATGTCTCTGGAAGAAGGCCCTCTCCCATGACTCTTGGGAAAAACCTTCCAGCTTTTATTTTGTGGCAGCTGGGCAGGAGCTCAACAAGGTGACACCAAGAAGAGAGCAAAGGGGAACATGCGGCAAGGGCGGACACCCAAGAGGCAGGCTAACTCAGGCAGCCTGGGCTCAAGATCATGGAGCAGAGCAGGGATGCTGACAGCATGCAGGGGAGCGCTTGCTGCAAGGCTGCAGGGCCACAGAGGCGCTGCTCTAAGGGGCACTGACAGCAGGTCTGCTTCGTCTAGCAATGCTCCTGAAGTAGAGCCCCGAGAAGTCCACGATGCTCACGTCCGAGAACCCACAGAGGCTTCGAGGCGCTCTACAAACTCACTACCGTCCCCCGCGCGAGGGAGCTCCGGGGCGATCTGCACGCTCCCGGCTGTCAACAGCCCCGGGGTGGTCTGCAAGCTCACGTCAGGCCCCAGCACCGGGATAGCTCCGGGGCAGTCTGCGCGCTCCCGCCCGTCCACAGCACCGGGATTAGCTCCGGGGYGGTCTGCGCGCTTCCGCCCATCCACAGCCGCGGGGTAGCTCCGGGGTGGTCTGCACGCTCACGTCGTCCCGGAGCGGTCTACACGCTCACATCGGGCCCCGCCCAGCGGTAGCTCCTGGGGGTGTTTGCGCGCACTCGTCGGGCCCCAGCCCAGGTATCAGGATGCCGTGACCTTCGCGCCGGCGACTCACCCACTGCTGGGGGCAGCTGGCCTCGAAGGAGCTGCGGAGGCGCCGGCAGAGGGCCGCGTCCTCGGCGTGGGCGTCCAGGCACCGCCAGTACTCGTCGCGCGCGCCCCAGCACGCCTGCCGCTCCTTCCTGGAGGGTGCCGCCATGCCGAGCTGCCGGGCACTCGCACGCGCGGCGGAGAAGCGCGAGCGCTACGCCCCCGGAAGTGCGCCGCCGGCTCGGCTCGACTAGCCCACTACCCGCAGCTCGCGGCGGAACGGCCGGGGTTAGAAGGGCACTTCCGTGCTGCCGTCGCCGTGCGCGGGGGCGGGACTTCCGAGCCCTTCCCTGAGGGGACTTTCGGCCTGCGAGGGCGCGGCGAGTGGGCTTACACGGCTCTTCACCCCGCGTCTGGCGGTGTCCTCGCGCCGTAGCGCCCCCTCCCGGCCTGGGGTGGAAGCGGGACCCGGCAGCAAGACCGGCGCTGCCCTCGGTCGGCGCATCTCTTCCCCGGCGCGCGAAAGGGTGCCCGGGTCCTTGCGGGATATTGGGCTACGGAGCCGCGGCGAGGCCCGCCGGCCTGTGGAAGCTGAGCCTGGGCGTGCCTGCACCTTGGCGTCATTCCGTAAAGGTGTGTCGTCTCAGTACCGCCCGCGGAATTCAAAGAGGGCGAGAGGATCCTGGAAGCCTTCCATGCTAGAAAAAATACATTTAAGAGGTATATGTACCTAATGAAAAGTTTCACTTAATGACTGCATATGCGACAGCATTCATTAAGGCTGTCTCCAAGTGACACTGCGACTTTCATAGTGGAAGTACACTCTGATGTTCACACAAGAATGATGTCGCCTAATGGTGCGTTTCTCAGAAGGTATTCATTCTTATTGAGTAACAAAGCAACACGTACTGTGAATCATGGAAAGTTAAACTTGACAGAACACAAAGAAAAACATGGTCAAAGTGGAGATTTCATAGGGATTTCTCAGTAAATGTTAAGGCAAGCAAGAGAAAAATCAAGCTATAGAAAACTTAACATGATTTACAAACTTGACGTAACAAATGTGTTCAGAAGAACATTCCCCGAGAATGCAAGGGTCTTACCTCTGAGCCACATCGCTAGCCCCAGAATTTACCTTTTCTTAAAAGCAAACTTGAGATGTCCCCAAAATTGACTATATATTTGGCTATTTGCAACTAACTGCCAATAAAAAAAATGTTTTTTTTAAGCCTCAATGATCACTTTATTGCAAATAAATCTATGAAACCTCTAGATTTGATTAAGATCATGAAGTCCCTGCAGGTGTAATTGAGATGGACAGGTTAGCGTGAATTCCCTAGGTGGGCCCTAAGTGCAATCACTATTCTTATGAGGGAAGTGGAGGAGATGAGAGCAGAAGGCCTTGTGAGGAGGTAGCTGAGATGAGAGTGCTGTGGCCACAGCCTAGGAACACTGTCTGGGAGAGGTGAGCACGGATTCTCCCACAGAGCCTGCAGAGGGAGTGGTGGCTCTTCCGACCCTTACTTCAGCCCAGGGAGGCATACTTCAGAGTGCTGGCCCACAGGACCAAGAGAACACATTTCTGTTGTTGTAAGACACCTTGTTTGTGGTAATTCATTACAGCCGCCACAGGAAGAAAATACACCCACCACAGTAACTGGGAGGAAATGGGGTCTCATAACCAGCTAACAAATGGAAAACGAGAGTCATGTATGTGTAAGACATCCTGCGACGGAGTCTCCCTACCCTTACAGACCCAGTTGGGTTACCCTGTCAACTTTCCCCTGGCCTCTTTGGAGACTTTATTTCCTGTGAGATGAGAAGGAGGGAACAAAGGCTCCCCTTGAGCAAACTTTAGTTAGTTGTGAGCCCTCTTCTCCACTAAGCCTTGACCTTGGCCTCCCTCTGTCTTATTCCTCTGTCCCTACTAACCTGGCTTCAGCAAGAATTCTGCTAAATTGGCTTGATAAGAATCACCCATCCTTGATATCTGATGTTCTGTGATGTCTTATTTTGTCTCTTATCCATACCTTTTTTTATTTGTTCTACTTCGTTATACACGACAGCAGAATGCATTTCAATTCATCATACACAAATAGAGTGCAACATTTGAATTCTCTGGTTGTATATGATGTAGAGATGCACCATTAGTGCAATCATACATGTACCTAGGGCAATGATGTCCATCTCATTTCACCATCTTTCCTACCCACTTGACCCTTCTCCACCCTCCCCTTTGCCCAGTCCAGACTTCCTCCATTATCCCCCCCCCCCAATCACAGATCAGCATCCACTAATCAGAAAATATTTGGCTTTTAATTTTGGGGGATTGGCTTACTTGGCTTAGCAGTGATATTCTCCAACTCCATCCATTTACCAGCAAATTCCATAATTTGATTCTCTTTTAATGCTGAGTAATATTCCATTATGTATATATACATCTGTGTTGGTTCCACAGTTTACTATAAACATTGATGTGGTTGTGTTACTGTAGTATGCTGATTTTAAGTACTTTTGGTATAGACTGAGGAGTGGGACAGTTGGGTCAAATGATGGTTCTATTTCAGGTTTTCTGAGGAATCTCCACACTGCTTTCCAAAGTAGTTGCACCATCTTGCAGTCTCACCAGCAATGTATGAGTGTGCCTTTTCCTCCACATCCTGGCCAATACTTATTATTGCTTGTATCCTTGATAACTGCCATTCTGACTAGAGTGAGATGAAATCTTAGAGTAGTTTGATTTGCATTTCTCTAATTACTAAAGATGTTGAACATTTTTTCATATATTTGTTGATCACTTGTATATCTTCTTCTGAGAAGTGTCTGTTCAGTTCCTTAGCTCATTTATTGATCGGGTTGTTTTTTTGGTATTAAGTTTTTTGAGTTCTTTATATATCCTGGAGATTAGTGCTCTATCTGATATGCATGTGGTAAAAATTTGCTCCCACTCTGTAGGCTCTTTTTTTCCCCTCAATTATTATTTCTTTTGTTGAGAAGAAGATTTTTAGTTTGAATCTATCCCATTTATTGATTTTTAAATTTTATTTCTTGCACTTTAGGAGTCTTGTTAAGGAAGTCAGGGCCTGATCTGACATGATGAAGATTTGGACCTACTTGTTCTTCTTTTAAGTGCAGAGTCTTTGGTCTAATTCCTAGGTCCTTGATGCACTTTGAGTTGAGTTTTATACATGGTGAGAGATAGGAGTTTAATTTCATTCTGCTGTATATGGATTTCCAGTTTTCCAGCACCATTTGTTGAAGAAGCTATCTGTTCTCAATATATGTTTTTAGTGCCTTTGTCTAGTATGAGATAACTGTATAAATGTGGGTTTGTCTCTGTGTCTTCTATTCTGTACCATTTGTCTGCCTGTCTATTTTTGTGCCAATACCATGCTGTGTTTGTTACTGTTGCTCTGTAGTACAGTTTAAGGTCTGGTATTGTGATGCCTCCTGCTTCCCTTTTCTTGGTAAGGATTATTTTGGCTATTCTGGATCTCTTATTTTTTCCAAATGAATTTCATGGTTACTTTTTCTAGTTATATAAAGAATGTCATTGAATTTTAATAGGAATTAAATTAAATACTACAGTTTTGGTAGTATGGCCATTTTGACAATATTAACTCTGCCTTTCCAAGAACATGGGAGATCTTTCCATCTTCTAAGGTCTTCTTCAATTTCCTTCTTTAGTGTTCTGTAGTTTTCATTGTAGAGGTTTTTCACTTCTTTTGTTAGATTGATTCCCAAGAAATTATCAACAAATTTTAAAGATTGAAATAATTCAGTTTTTTTTAACATAATGCTATTAAGCTAGAGAGCATGAACTGTGAAAATGTTATTATGGAGTCCATGGACAAAGTCAATAATGATGAAAAAATATTTTGAACTGAACAATAAAATACAATAGCAATGCCTGTGGACTGAAGCTAAAGCAGGACTAACATATTTATAGTCTTATATACACTTATAGTACTTATAGTACACTAGAAAAGAGCCTGAAATGTCTTGAGCTAAATATCCCTTTTTAACAAGTGAGAAAAATAAGACTGAATAAAGTAGAAGCACAGAAGTAATGTGAAGAGCAGAAATTAATGAGATGGGAAACAAGTAGTGGTAGACAGAGCCAGCCTCTCAGTCATGCACACCTCTTTTCAACTCCATGTTCAGTGACAGCAGACAAGTTGCTTGGAATTGCCCATGAGGACAACATTCACTCTGTGGAAATCAACAGACAAGCCAAGGTTTTGTTTCTGTTATGTTTGCAGCAAATTCACTAGCATACCATTGCATTTAATAGACTTAAAAAACATTGATTTTTTTTTCAAAAAGAAAAACTAATAAAATTAACATCTGATAGTACTGAACAACAGAGATGCATTAACTTTTATCAGTAATGAAACTGGATCTATGGACATCCAAAGGTTAGAGGATCTTATAAGCAAATGCAAAAAAAAAAAAAAATCAGATGAATATACAGATTTCAGGAAAAATAAGTAACCGATACAAGTAGATAAGTCTTTCAATAATTTGAAATAGTAGTAAAGAATCTTTCTACAGGCAAATTCCAGGTACCAGCCTCATCAGTAAATTCCTCAAAATGAGCAACCCCACTCTTACTGTATAAGGCTACCATAGCTTGTACTAGTAAAAAAAAATCTTCAAACCTTGGAAGCACCAAACTCTTTGGAATTCATTTGGTGAGAAATATGACTTAAAGCTAAACAGGGCTCTTTATAGTTGTTATTTATGCATCACTTAGGTCATTATGTGTATGTTTTGATGTAGAAATATTAATGTGTTTTATTATGGGTCCCAGTTGTTGTTGAAAGTTTTATACAATATATATTCTGTGTTCAGTAGTACCTTTCCAATATTCAAAGAGTCTATATTCCAAATACTTCTGAATCCAAGGATTTTAGATAAATTACACAGCCATGTATGAGAAAATACTTTTATGACTTTGGAGTAAAAAAAAATAGCCTTAAAGGAAAAGAGAGATAAGTTCAACTACATAAAAATTAATGACTTTTGTTTACCAAATACCAATATAGAGTAAGTGGAAAGACAAATTATTGTGCGGGAGAATTTTTCAAAGATATATAACAATTAATACTTATATTAAATACACCTACAAACCAGTAAAAATAAGAAATACTCATTTTAAAAAGGTACAAAAGAGGGCTGGGGATGTGGCTGAMGCGGTAGCGCGCTCGCCTGGCATGCGTGCGGCCCGGGTTCGATCATCAGCACCACATACAAACAAAGATGTTGTGTCTGCTAAAAACTAAAAAATA